GTAATTAGCAAAAATAATTAGAAAATATCTATTTTAGACTACAAAACTCATTAATTCAGTATTCCATGCATAGTCCTTTTTTTCAATATTCTGTACATACTCATTTATACCCTTTATGGAAATGTTAAGAAATTTCCATGAACAAACCACTAAAGAATTATGAACTTCCTTTTATGCCTCTATACCATGCGCTCTGGTTCATCTACAACCTATCATCTCCATTTTGTATGGGAGCCAACCTAAACTTGGCTGTGCTAAATGCATTCCTTCATGCCCCTGGACAGGGTCATAGGGAAGCTGTGTGGAGCTGATGCCACAGACCATACCAGGACGCTTGCCCTAGAAGAGGGCTTGCCTTAGAAGAAGCCTCCAGGAGATGCAGAGAACTTGAGATGATTTTCACAATCCTGAATTTGCTGGCTTAATTCCAAGCTGGAGCATCTTTCTTTCAGAGTGTGTGGACACTCAGTTCTTTTCGTCCTGCTCGGCTCTAGCAAGAGCACTAGTAGTCTACTAGGTATCACAGTCAGCTGCTAATGAGTTTAGTGTAGAGGTATTTATTAATAGAGGTATTTTCTGTTCTTGAAATAAAGGCAGAGCCAACAGACCTGATCAGTGTATGTTGAGAGCTGTTTTTCTAAATAGGCTGTTTTATAGACACTGTCAGCATTGGCCAGTTGTTTTTAAGCTCAGTGAGTTTGGGAATCAGGTGAATTCTCAGTAGTGGAGACAAAGGTTGCTTGTTTGGCAGTCACTTGTCATCCTCTCTCCAGTATGCATTCATCCATTTGTCACAGCATTTTGTGGGGAGTTGAACAGGGAAGCCTAAGAAAAATGCTTTACTCTTGTCTAGATGATAGAAAGCATTTCTCACCGCTGGTAGCATGGTGGTAACTTTTCATTCCTTCTGGCAGTTTTTAAAGACTTATTTGACTTTGGGGGAACCTGCAGTATATCTTTAAGTCACAGTTCAAAAGTATCAGACAGGGTTGTTCATTTTCAATTTTGGCTGAAAAGTCTTAACTTTGACTGTGGCACTTCAAAGTTAAGGAAAACTTGGCTTTAAAAATGGATACTGATATGAGATGGCATATTTAATGACAGATGTATCTATAGAAAGCTGTTAAGATGCAGATTATCCCCCCTGGGGTGGGGGAGGGAGATCAAAACTGCCAATCTATAAAATATACTCGATAGAGGAAGGCCTGGAATCTATCTTTGCAAGTGCTTTGATTGCAGGGGACAGTATAGCAGCATGTGGCATCATAACCCAGAGCAGACAAATCAGCTTGATGACTTTCAAAGCCAGAAATACTGCTTCAGGCAAGGGTACTCTAGTCTAGGAGAAATTAAAACATATAGAGACTGTTATTAATTCCATATCTATTTTTGTATAGTCAAATCTGTATGCAAATCCTTAGCATCTCATTTCAGCAGATTAATCTAAAAGTGAAGAGTGTTATGTGAAGGGAATGTAATGATAAAGCTCTGCAAATGAGTAACACTGCTTAAAAAATGTAGGCTGCAAACTTGGATGCCTTATTTAAAAACATTTTTGTACTGCAAAGAAATGGTTTTTATTTATATGCGTATTTGTAAATTTTTTCATCAGGGGAAAGCAATAGACCCAATTTCTAAGGTTTTTCCCTTGTAATTCTGACTTGGCAAAAGTTACAACACTAGGCTTTTTAGGCACCTCCTGTGGTTTAACATTCTACAAGTAATCAACCAAATAACTAACTAGGACTTTTATTTTTACTCCCAACTAGTCACCCAATATCTCATTTCTAAATATTGCCATGTAAGTGAAAATTTGTTTGTAAGGGGAAGGAATCTAATTACTGAGTGCAGATTAAGAAAAGAGCTTTATTATACATGCATCTGTGGAATACAGTAAATAATAGTTCTGAAGAGCATGAAGATAGATTGTGTGCCCTGCTTGGGAAAGGGAATGTAATAGCTACATTCTGATCCACTGGCTGTAGATTTACTCTATAATGGGCAGAGTCTGATACAGATAGTAGAGTAAATATTTTCAAATAGTGTCATAAACAGATAGTTTACTGCAGTAGATATTAATTCTGTCCCATATTTTTGAAACAAGTAGAGAAATCATCATAGCTTTGAAATAATGGGTGGGAGCTTTAACCTCTGTTTCCTCTCATTTGGAGAATTGATTATAGGCAAGCTGGGCATTAATCTGGCAGTTATTGCCCAGATCAAAAGCATTTGGCAATCATTTTAACCTTGAAGACTTGTGAGGTCTCAACAGATTGGATTATTCTTGTGTCGCTATACTGAGGAAGAATGCTTGGACATTCAGTTTTTAATCAGGTAAGTAAAGGAAGGTTGAGAATAAAAAGGAAACACACATCTGTATTTATTTCGAAATAGATTTTTACTCTATGTAGGCATTTCAACCTCAGTTTTCTCAAGTGTGTTTCTTCTTTGATTTCATTTTAAAAATGAGATCTTCGAGAAATCCAGAGGAGACATTCTTTGAGGCAGAAAGCTCATTTCTCTCTGTCCTTTGTGGACTTCCTTCACAGATGAAACTTTCATTGATTGTGAAATGTGATTACACACTTCAGAGAGAATACTAAAGCCCTCCAGTTAATAATAGCCATGGTCAATTACCTGAAAGGTAGAATCTCCTTTCTGGAGTTGAATGAGAGAGTAATGATTGGCCTAGACAAGTTCCCTCCACTGTATGTATCCTTTGGTGTTGGTCATTCCAACTAAGTTGATGATTATGCACCAAACATCTGGATTCTAGCTGACTTGATTCCTGACCAAGGAGTTGATGGTGCTGGTGCTGACCTACTCAAACTATTTGAACAGTCAAAACATAACTTATACTGGACAAAGTTATACAGATAAGCAAGACTCTCAAGAATAATGTGACAGGGGAAGAGACCAGAATGTAGGTGGAAATCAACTCCTCCCCCAAAAAAGAATCAGGAAGGTTTTTAAGCTCTGGGGTGTGCTAGTGAAAAAGTACTGAAGAACTTTTGTGTGAAGGTTGATAAATGTGATGTGTTGAGCATACTTGGTAATCCCTGAGCTTGTTATCAACTCAGTAATCCCTTTGTGATTTGTGTTTGTTGACTGTTGATCCTCAAAATGGGGTTTCTACCTTTCCACAGAAACTGGGAGCTCAGGTTGCTGTCTTCCCTGATGATTACCTTTCCAATCTGATGGCTCCTATGTCCTTGATGAAGATATTCCTGGATTGTAAATCTTCAAGATTTTTAAATGATTTAAATCTTAAAGAGGCAGAGAAAGAATTTATAATTACAAGTTTTCTAAATCAAATGCTCTAAGAAAAGGGAGTCAGGGGCCTGGAGACAGGAAGAAACACATTCAGTGTTTAGTCAAGCTGAATGTTCAAGTGTAGTAACTAAATATACATTATTTAGAATGAAAAAAAAATTCAATAGGAAACTTTTTGATTTGGTTTAATTTTAGATATTTAGTAAAAAATTAGTTGTGTTTTTGTGATACTTACTAAAAATAGGAATGATAATCATTTTATACTAGCATCTAGAATTATGTATAAGGCAGTATTTCTAAAGATAGATTTTCTTTTTTTGGTTTTCATATTCTTATTACTTTACTACCTTACATTTAATATCTCATGGTGTTATTTTCTCACAGTGTTGTTTTGTGTTCTCTTTCAGAATTTTTCCACTTAATATTTAAAATTAAAGTAGAATCAGTAATGTCTGGGTTTTATAGCTCAGTTGACACCACAAGCATGGACAAAAGTATGAGGTCAAATAGGAGAAACTTCTCTGGAAGTATGATGCTTTTTTAGTGGTTTTTGATTAAGCACAAGGTCCCAAGTCTTTTGAATCTAACCAGTGTTCAAAAGGCCTTCAAAAAAGTTATCAAGGGCAGCTGCACTGCAATAACCTGGATCTGTGTTATCCAGTGTGGTGGCCATCAGCCACATGGTTTACTGGGCATTTGAAACATGGCTAATCTGGATTGAGATGTGCTGTGCTGTGTTTACAGTGGATTTCAAAAATTTAGTATGAAAAAAGAATATAAGGGCCTCCCTGGCAGGCAATTGAAAGCAGTGCTGTGAAGCTGTCCATAGCCTCTGCAGCGTGGGTTAGATCCCCGCTGGCTGGGGAGATACCCACATGGTGCGGCAGACCTCTCCTGTCTCGCCTGCTGCTCCCCTCAGCAGTGTATTTCAATCGGTCTGCCTGTTCTGTTCCCCACTCTGTCTCTGGTGAATTCTGTCACTCCCCCACACATCTGGCCTGTACCCTGGTTCTTGTATGCATGAATAAATAAATCTTTAAAAAAAAAAAGAAAAAAGAATATAAAACATCTCAATAGTTTTTATATTGATTTCATGTTGAAATCATATTTTGGATACATTGAATTAAATAAAATTTATATCATTTGATTTCACTGTTTTTTTACTTTCAACATGGCTGCTGGAAAATTTTAAATTTCATGTGACTCACATTTGTGACTATTGCTATATTTTATTGGACAGCATTGATTCTAGATCTCTTTTACTAAGTAGTGTCTTATCTTAAGTATGATTCTCCCAATGATCATGCTACCACTGTGTTAGTACAGAAGGTTAGAGCTGTAAAATTGCCAGTGGAGCTAAGATCAAGAATTTTCCATGTAACTATGTCCCTGGCATAAATTGTACAGAGATTCATAGTGTGTACTATATTCACCCTCCCTCCCCATAATTTGTCCCTCATTTTAGCCCAATAGAGCAGCATGTCAGAAATGGGGGTCCTTTGGTAATCTCAACTTGTTGCTAGCTCACAACTGGATTGCTTCTGCAGTTTCTTCAGAATGAAACTGTTTCAAAAATAAGCTTCTTAATTATGTCATGGGTTCACCATGAGGGTATACAAACAGATCCTCAGCAGTAGCTAATTTTCCTTTAATTGTATCTCATTCTTATGTTGGAATATCCTATTTCTTATTCATGGAAAGCTCTAATGCATGTTAATTCATTTCAGGTGGAGTAACTAACACAGCACAATATCAGAACAGACTAATGGTATATGAACCTAACCAGGTAAGAATCATATAAAAAAGCTCATTACCTTAATTAAAATGAATTTTAAAAGATTTCCACAGTAATTAGTAATTGGTATGCCAAGTCTGTGTACATACTGCACCTTAAACTTATATAAAGAAAAGGAAGCATCTGGATAAACTGTTTTTTGGTTCCTTTTTTTACCTTCCCTCATGAAATTTCAACTAGTTTTATGCTATATACATGCTTAACTCTTCCAGAGTTTTTTTTTACAAAGTAAAAAAAAAAAGCAAAATATGTTGATGAGTTAAATGCTCTTTGTTTCCATTTTCTAAGTGACTCTTCATATTCAGAGCATCCAGAGGAAGTTTAATTGTCCTATTGCTATGTCCTTTCAGAAAGTGTGTCATTTTAGGAAAGGAACATGCTTATGGTTTTGTTATTCCCAAATAACGTATTAATTTTTACTTAACTAAGTATAGCAAAATGTTCTAACACTATGTCTGGGACAAATTCAAAGAAGTCTTTGAAGTGTTTGAATATGTTTTTTTTCTAACAACTTGGAAGCATTTTGAGGTGCCTGTCCTTCTGGTCACTTTTTATACACCCTTAATGACTTTTCTCCAGCAAAGTAGTACAATTTTTATTCTTTTTACTTCTATCAAAATATCTTTGACCTTGACAACTGTTTGTTAAATTTTGCCATCTCTGTGATTTTAGAAATATATTTCTCATAATTATGACAAAATTCCAAAATGATTTGATTTTGGACTTTCATATTCACCACCTGAAGATTATGGAACACAAAAACAACAGGTTGGCTTTGGGAATCTGTGTCAGGATATGTCCAGGGTGACCTGAGTGTCTTTGATATCTTTTTACTTTAATAATCATTTGCTTCTAAATTTAACTGAGGTATTTCTCTCTTTGCAAGTGTGTTTCCTGATGTCATTAGGAGCAGTAAGCTTCAGAGACCATGTACCATGGGTCAGATGTCTCAGGAGGGATCATTAATTGCACTTGCTTGAGCTCGGTGTACACGTGGTTAAAGAGAAAGATGGTGTTAACATTTCTCAAATGAGTTCTGTTTCATGTTTGTACACACATGCTCTTTTTAAAAATTCTGCTGGCATATTGTTTACGGTGGGTACTGGCAAACATCACATCTGCTTGCATCTTGCTCAGAATCTCAATAACTCTATCATTCAGCCCTGGTGCTTATTTCTCTTCTAGGCCTTTGTGGAGCATCGATAATGCCTGCCATCTGCCACAGAGCACATCGCTACCTGCCAACCGGCAGGCTGGGGTGACCTCTGCTTCCCCACCACTGATTAGTATTCACACACTAGCTTATTAGGAATGACCCGACCAGGCCTCTGTGTTTCTTTGCCTTTGCAGTGGCTGGCAGCTCACCTGGCAGGCACTGCAGTGAAGGAAGCTAAAGATATAATCAGGGGATCCAGCAGCCTTTCCAAACCAGATGGCGTCCATAGTTCTGTGGCAGGGGACCGGACTACTAATGCAAACATTGATTCCTAATACTGTAATGGGTTGTCTCATAGAAAGACCCAAGGAAAGCATCATCAGTTAAATCTATTCATGTGTAATGTATTAAAGATATTTCTTAGCAGAGTATCTGCAAGAAGGATTTGACTATTTTATTAAAGAAGACATTTAATTGGAAGGAGATTTTACATGTTTAAGAAAGGGGAACAGATAAATACAAGCCTTTCTAACTGTACCGACCACTTTTTTCTTCCTTTTCTTTTTGAGTGTATTTTTAAAAGGGGAATTAGAAATGAGCTAGTGGATATGCTTTTGTGAATGGACAATATTTGTATAAAACTTTTTTTTTTGCTTCTTTTACAGCTTTGTGAACTGCTGAAATTCTATGTATTCAAAACATTTTTTTTCCTGCTTCTTCCTTTACAGCTTTGTGAACTAGTGAAATTCTATGTATTCAAAACATCATATGATTTTTCTGGTTGAAATCCAATTTTTTCTTGGCATAAAGGAATCTGGGTTGTTTTTGTATATCTAGTGTTTATGTAGAAAGGAAATGATTAGGTTTACTTACCTGCCTGTTACTTAGTTGAGATTTAAAAATCGAAGTCATATCATTTTCATCTCATTTTATGTTATATTTTAAACAGGGGCTTTAAGAGAGGTTGATTATTCCTTTTTCATTATTGAGAGTGACCTAGAACCAAAATATTGGCTATTTCAACATTCCCTAAAGTTATCATATAAAACTTGGCCTCCTATTAAAACAAATAGATGTGTGCCTAGAATTAACTTTTCCCTATTTGGCAGATGTGATTATAAATATGTTAATGGAGGCCGATACAAAACAGTGTGGAAGTTTGTTGCTGAATCAAATCTTAGCTCTTCCATTGATCTCTGGAGGTTAATTTTGAAAAGAATCACACAGGCCCCTTCATCCGAGCTGATGTAGGGACCTCTGGTTGTTAGTGATTATTATCATAGTAATACTTTTTAAAGGGTCCATTTAGTGCATTATTCTAAATAGTAATATTAGTTCACTTAATTGTTAAAACAGGCTTCTCAGGTGGGTGTTACCCCATTTTACAGACGAGAAAGCAGATATAGAGGCTAAGTAAATTGCTCAAAGTCACACATTGGTTATAAACTCAGGTATTTTGGATTGAGTGCCTGTTTTTTTTTTTTTTAAGATTTATTTATTTATGCATACAAGAACTGGGGCACAGACCAGATGTGTGGGAGGGTGAGAGGATTCACCAGAGATAGAGTGGGGAACAGAACAGGCAGACTGACTGAAATACACTGCTGAGGGGAGCAGCGGGAGAGATCAGAGAGGTCTGCTGCGCCACGTGGGTATCTCCCTGGCTAGCTGGAATCGAACCCACACTGCAGAGGCTACGGATAGCTTCACAGCACTGCGCTCAACCGCCTGTGCCACCAGGGAGGCCCGAGTGCCTGTTTTCTTAATTTTTATACTGCTGTATAGTATAAATTACTATGCACTTCCACTCTTAAATAATTTGCATGATTAACTTTTCTGAATTGGGTAAGATAACCATGAAAATTTCTGTATGCTTATGTTCCTCTTTTATAATGCAACATATCCTATAAGATGCACCCCAAACAAGAGGAAATGCCTTATATAAATCATAAAGTAGAGTTGGAGTATGTGGTTCTTCTGCCCTTGTTTTCAGGTTGGAAGCCTATAAAGCCACAGGCTTTGAAGTAAATAAACAGCACCGAATAAAATGTAGGGCGTGAGCATTAGGGTCTCCACTACTAAAGAGGCACTGCTGTTTCCTACTATGAAGTTCTCCTCTTAACAGAATTCACCTGAACTTCTTTCTTCAGAATAAGTGGATAAGCCGCAGCCCCATGCTGCAGAGAAGGGTCTACCATTCCATGGCTGCTGTGCAAAGGAAGCTTTATGTTCTTGGAGGCAATGACCTGGACTACAATAACGACCGGATCCTCGTGCGGCATATAGATTCTTACGACATAGATGCTGACCAGTGGACCCGTTGTAATTTCAACCTGTTGACTGGCAAGTACCTTCCATTCAGTAAAGCAGAAAAAGTTGAGATCCATACTTAATACCTTAGGCATCTTTTTAGCACATCTCTAAATGTTAAATGCATAGTGCTAGCACAACTTGATATTTTATTAACCAGAAAGGTGTATTTTTCTCTCAAAATTTCACTTCATCAGGAGGCTGAGCACCTGTTTTCACGGGGCCTGTGTTACTTTTGTGCACATTCTCACATAGCTGAGACATGCCAAGTCCATTCTTGTCAACCAGGGAACTTTGATGTGAGTAGGAGAAGCCAAATGCTGAAGGAATTAGTAACTTCTCAGAACCCATTTATTCTTATTTCTCACTACTTTTCATCATCTCTATTTCTTGTGAGTCCAGAAGAATCTGTATTATTTGTTACTGTCAAATATTGCTCTTGGCTGTATTCTCCCCAAAACTAACCCTTAGGGCAGTTCTATGGTTAGGAGTTTGACTACATTTCTGGCTATACATACCATTGAAACATTGCCACAGGGCTGTGCTAGGTTTCAACCAGCCTTATCCCAATGGGGAAGGAAAGGAAAGTAGTGGACAACTTACACCTGACATTTCCTGAGTTGAAAACTTTTCCTCCCTTTTCAGCTTGTATTAATAACATCCACAAGTGATCAGTTCCCTTCCAGGCTGTTCTACTAATAGGACAATCACAAACTCAGAATGGTGGGCTGGACTAGTGCTTGAAGACATTTTAATATGCTGAGTGGTCAGTCACTCAATCACTTTCAGCTGCAGCTGGGGAGGCACTATTGGGAATATAGCCAGTGTGAGAGGCTTAGATACTGTGTATTGAACTCCTGTTTTTGTAAATAATTTTTGAGGTTCACCTACAAGTGATTAACTCTAAGTTGTTGTAGTGGTACCATAAACCCTCAGTCCTGGCATCTGTGATTTTGTGTGCTGTTGGATCCAGCTTATTTATTACTCCAGTCAATCCTGTGTCAGCCCATCAATAAAAAGAGACTATCCTCACTCTCTGATGGCCTCCAGGGAAGAATAGTGGTAGCGAGTTATTCTGTCTTCTTTTTTAAATGGGGAAGTCACCTTTTATCATTTTGGCGTGTCACCATCTAGGGACTATGCAGTTTGGTCCCAGCTCAGATACTTTAATATAGTCTTAAAACTGTTGTATATGTAAAGAAAGGGAGGGTAGTAACTTTATCAATCTTTTCTGTCATTGGTCTTCATTTGAGGCACACTAGGGGCACAGTTCTGTTTTATTGGCTTCTTGGGTGTTGCAGCCGTTTCTTTACAGATGTGAACACTTGAATTAAAGTATTTGTAGGTACAAGAGATAGTCTGCATTTCTAAAATATACATTATTTCTATCATGATAAATTAATGGCACACACCATCGTATAGAATGCTTGGTTCTTTGTGGCTTGTTATTGTTGTATGTAATGCTTTATTTACTAACTTGGTGGGCTAATAAGTATTTTGACTTGGTTCTAACCTGAGACAGATTCATTCACTAAGAAATAGTGGTTAATTCTTCCATTTGAGTACTGGGAGGCAGTGATTAGTTGCTGTAAAAATCCTGTGGAATATACAAGTATGCCAAGGGGGAAAATGTATCCCTCAGTGGCAAAAGGGTTAATTAAGACATGCAACGAAATAGATTTATTTTTCTTTTTATTCAATTCTCTTTACTTTAGGCCAAAATGAATCTGGAGTTGCTGTCCATAATGAGAGGATATATTTAGTTGGTGGATATTCGATTTGGACAAATGAGCCTCTGGCTTGTATCCAGGTGAGTGGTTGTGAAATTCTTTTGAAGTTTGTTCAAGTGTTTCAGTGAGGTTATTTTTCCCAGTGTGTTTCCTGAAGGAAGAGATACTTAGATGTAGGAAGAGGCTTTTGTCTATGCAGCTTGTTCAGCCACTAAACTTCATTCTGCATCCTAAAAATTTTGCCTTATGATTTAATTCTATTGAAAATAAAGATGGGAATAAACTTTGAAGATATATGTAATATATACTGGAAATGAGGAACGTGGCATACTTTTCCCTGTTTCATAAACCAAAAATATTTAGAATCTTTGGCAATAGTTCTTTCCACTCCTTAAAACCTTACAAATGCCTCTTTTCCATTCAATTGCTTTATTTTCTTTATCATAATTTGTTCATTTATAACCACCACCTACTAAGGTGTTCTTCCTTCCTACCAGAGGTTGTGACATTGTGGCTTACTATTGTTCTGATAGGGACAGCCTCTGTCCCAGAGTATAGGCCTGGTCCATCAGCATGTGAAGAGCCTAGGCTGGGCAAATAGCCAGCTGGGTCTTTTAGAACAGCAATTGCTTTTGTTGACAGACATTTTCAAGGCATTATTTCACAATTTTGATGCAGTTGTTTTTGTTTTATTGTTTTCTGATAACATTGGCATGTATTAGCTATGACCTTTCTCTTCATTTCCAAAAACATAAGTCCTCATATTATCTAACTTCTTGCATATTCAGATTAGCTAACCTCATCTTTGTGGAGAAATTTTTAACAACTGTTTCAGTATCCTTAATAGTTGCAGGACTATTCAAGCTTTTAATTTCTTCTTCAATCACATATCATTAGGGTTATATATATATTTTTTTTTTCAAGAAACTTGCCATATTGCTGAATGTCTGAAGGTCAGCATATAATTGTGTTTTCCTTATAGTAACCCTTAATATTCATAATAGCTGTTTTTTCCTCTTTTTTTGACTTGTCTGGGGATTTTAACGTATTTCTACTATTGATAAAGATCAAATAGATCTAAATCAGCATGGGTAGCTTTGTTATGAACAACATAATTAACAAGCTGGTCCTAATGGGAATAAGTTTTGGATAGAACAATTAGGATATATTTTTCCTCCTTTTTTTCTTTTTGTTTTGAGATATAATTGGCATTTAATATTACAGTAGCTTAAGGTGTTTAACATTTTACATAAATATATATTGCTAAATGCAAACAAACTTAATATCCATCACATCACAGTTATAAAAGTTTTTTGTGATAACTGTTAAGATTTACTCTTATCTACTTTCCAATATAAAATATGCTATTTTAAACTATAATCACCATGCTATGCATTGTATCTCAAGAACTTATGACTGGAAATCGGTTCCTTTTGAGCACACCATACATGTGTATATACATACACATGTAATTATAAATGATGTGTGTAAATATATCTCACATTTCTTTATTTGTTCACCTGTCAATGGGCTCTAGTTTCCATTATTTGGCTGTTATAAATAATACCACGATGAACATGAGTACAGATAGTGTTTTTGAGATATACCTGTAAGTAGAATCGATGGATCATATGATAGCTTTAATTTTAATTTTTTGAGGATCCACCATCTTTATTTTTTATAGTGGCTACACCAATTAACATTCTCACCAAGATTCTTCACATCCTTGCCAACATTTGTTACCTCTTGTCTATTTGATGGCATTGCAGGTTTGTGATGATACCTCATTTTGATTTACATTTCCCCTATGATTAGTAATGTTGAGCATTTTTTCCTGAGTGTGTCGGCAATTTGTATGTTTTCTTTGAAAAAATGTCTAATTAGATCCTCAGATTTATTTTTTTTGACTTCTTTGTATACTTTGGATTTTAACCCCTATCAGATATATGATTTGACATTATTTTCTCCCACTTAGTAGGTTGCATTTTCATTTTGTTACTTTCCTTTGTTGTGGAGAAACTTTCTAATTTCATGTAGTTCCCCTTGTTTATTTTTGCTTTTGTGCTTTGTTTTTATTGTCAAATAAAAAAAGTCATTGCCAAGACCATAGTCAAAAGAGTTAACCCCATGATTTCTTCTTGGGGTTGTATAGTTTCAGGTCTTAGGTTCCGGTTCTTAATCCTTTTTAATTGTGTATGGTATAAGATCAAGGTCCAGTTTCATTCTTATCATTCTTATGCATATGCCTGCCCAGTTTTCTAACACCATTTGTTAAAGAGATTGTCCTTCCCCATTATTTAATTTTTGTTCCTTGTCATATGTTAATCAACCATAATGCATGGTGTTTTTTCTGGGCCCTCTATTCTGCTCCACTCATCTGTGTCTTTTTTTTTAAATGTCAATACCATAATATTTTCTTTACTATAGCTTTGTAGTAGTTTGAAACCAAGGGATGTGATGTCTCCAGCTTTGTTCTTCTTTCTCAAGATTATTTTTGGGGCTTTTGACTATTGGGGCCTTTTGTGGTTACATACAAATTTTAGGATTTTTTTTTTTCTGTAAAAACTTTCATTGTAATATTGTTAAGGATTGCATTACTCTTGGTAGTCTGGCATTTTAATAATATTAATTCTTATTTGTACCTTCAATTTATTTTACCAGTGTCTTCTAGTTTTCAGAATGTAGAATTCTTACCTCCTTGGTTAAATTTATTCTTAAGTATTTGTTCTTTTTGATGAAGTTGTCAATGGGATTGTTTTCTTAATTTTTCTTTGTAATAGTTCAGTGTTAGTGTGTGGAAGCACAATTGATTTTTATGTATTGAATTGTATTGAATTTGTAGTCTGCCACTTTCCTGAATTTATTTTAAGTTTTTTTTTTTTTTTGGTAGAGACAATATAGTTTAATATAGTGTAATATAGACAATATAGTGTAATATCAGTCATCTGCAAATACTTGGTTGTACGTCATCCTTTCTAATTTGGATGCCTTTTTACTTTTTTTCTTGCCTGATTGCACTATGACTTCAATTACTATGTTGAATAAAAAGTAGCAAGGTGGGCATCCTTGTCTTGTTCCTGCTCTTAGAGGAAAAACTTTAACAGACTGTATGTGAACTTAGGGCTTGTATATGAATTTTACTATGCTGAGGTATATTCCCTCTACCTAGTTTGTTGCGAGTTTCCATTAAGAATGGATATTGAAATTTGTCAAATGATTTTTCTGAATCTATTGAGATGATTGTATGATTTTTATCTTTCATGTTAATGTGCTATTGTCACACTGATTTGTATATTTGAACCATCCTTGAATCCCTGCAATAACTGCATTTGGTCATGGTATATGATCTTTGTTGAATTATTATTGAATTCAGTTTGCTAGTAATTTTGCTGAGAATTTTTGCATCTGTATTTATTCAGGATAGTTTTCTTGTGTTGTCCTTGACTAGTTCTGTATCAGAGTAATGCTGGAGTTATAAAACGAGTTGGCCACTCTTCTTTCTTTTTGAAGTTTCAGAAGGGTTGGTATTAATTCTTCTTTAGACATTTGGTTGGATTCACCAATGAGGTCATCAGGTCCTGGACTCTTCTTTGTTGGGAGATTTTTCCATCTCCTTATTAGTAACCAGACTGTTCAAATTTTCTATTTCTTCATAGTTCAGTGTTGTTAGATTGTTGTTTCCAGTTTATCCATTTTTTTGAGCTTGTCCAATTTGTTGATGGGTAATTGCTTATGTAATTTCTTATGATCCTTTGTATGGTATGTTATAATATCTCTCCTTTCATTTTTAACTTTATTCCTCTTTGTTTCTTGATATGTCTAGGTAAAGGTTTGTCTATTTTATCTTTTTTTTTTAAAGATTTATTTTTACTTATGCATAGAAGAGCTGGGGTACAGGCCAGAGGTACAGGGGGAGGGGAGAGAAGATTCACCAGAGACAGAGTGGGGAACAGAACAGGCAGATGCACCGAAGTACACCGCTGTGGGGAGTAGTGGGCGAGTCAGGAGAGGTCTGCTGCGCCATGTGGGTAGCTCCCTGGCCAGGAATCGAACTTATGCTGCAGTGGCTGCAGATAGCCTCATAGATTGCATCTTAACCCCTTGCGCCACCAGGGAGTTATCTTTTATTTTTTTTTTAAAGTTTCTTTTCATTGACCCTTCTATTATCTTTTAGGTCCAAACATTTCCTTTCTTCTAAATGTTGGGCTTAGTTTGATCTTCCTTTTCCAGTTCCTCGAGGTGTACAGTTGGGTGGTTTTTTGGACTTCATTTTCAGTAATAGCATTTATCACTATACTCTTCCCACTTAGAACTTCTGTTGCATCCTAGACATTGTGGTATGTTACATTTCCATTTTATCTCAATTTTTTTATTTTTTCTTTAATCCATTAGTTGTTCTGTAGCAAGTTGTTTAATCTTCACATTTTGGAGAACTTTCAGCTTTCTTATTTTAATTGATTTCTAGTTTCATGCCATTGTGTTAGTAAGACTTGTTTTGTGGCCTAACGTATTATCTATCCTGATGATGTTCCAGGATATATTTTTCTTAAGCACACATGGTACATTTAGAAAAACCTATCATGTACTAGGTCTAATGTGAAGAAAATTTAAATAAACTTCAAAAAATTAAGTATTATATCAAATATGATCTCTAAGTACAACACAATTAATTTAGAACTTAACAAATATACAGGTATTTGTCTTTTGTTAAGTAAATATGGATTGTATATTTGCTAAGTAAATATGGTTTAAAAAAGTCATAACGGAAATTTAAAAAAAAAACCTAGAAATGATTGGTAATGAAAATAATACATGTAAATCTTGAGTGGTATATCATTGTAAGTTAGAAGATGATCTAAAATATAAACTCGGTGTAGGAGATAGAAATTATAAATGAGAGGAAAATAATGACCTAGAAAGTAATCACACAGTATAATGATCAAAGCCACAAGTTAGTTCTGTGAAAAAGGGAGTTTTTTTGATTGAAGGTTGTATTGTAGTGGAGCTCAGTCATGTCCTTTACATAACAAAAGCATAAACATTTCTCTCAAGGAGTGCTTTTAGTCTTTCATTCCAGCATATTCTATCAGTCTTTACTGTCTTTGTTTCTTTTTACATTTCAAAATTGGTAAAACATTGAACTGGGCAATAGGCAGTGCTTTGTAATGCTGGTACCCCGTTTTTTTAGTGATTTTGGTGCCCTTCATCTGACTTGCACAATGGAAGCAAGTTTGGGTTTATTATGAAATAAAGATGCAAAATTAAAATAAATTTAAGGGTATATTTCTACTAATTTTAATATTAAATTAGCTCAAGGAATAGAAATCAAGCTAGAATGATCACTAATCACATATACTAATTAACTCCTCATGATTTCTGGATGTTCCAAATAAGCAAATCTCTTCTCAAAAGATGAAGGGGTATATGTGTATATTTTAAATTGCTCAGGCTATTCTACAGTAGCTTCAGGATTAAGGTGATTCTAAAAGAGATGATTCATAAATGTTTTAATCAATGCCTTTATCAGTGGAATAAATTTTACCTCCAAGATCCAACAATAAAATATTTGAATATATTTGTTTTTTTATTTTAAAAAATCAGCACTGTGGATAGTTCTGTGTTCATTTCCATTTTGATGTACAAAATTAATCATTTTGCAAATGCTGTATTTATTCCCTTGGCTGGCAGACTGGTCTTACAAAGCACAGATAAATTTGATTTAAGGGTCTGAACTGCTTATAGATAATAAGTGCACATATAAGCATAAGGGCACTTGACATATGGATTGTCACTAAGAGATGTTTGCAATGGAAGTCTTCATGGATAATAGCCTCATCATACATCATATCTGTCACTTTAGTTATTGACAACTGTTTATGCATTATATTAACATTTATTCTGAGGTATGGTTATACGATCTCATTATTTTCCAATTTTTTGGGTGACTGTGGACTATTTTTGTTCACTAAGTAATTCACATTAAATGTATTGATGAGACTAGCTACATGTTCAAAGCTACATGATGAGACTAGCTACATGAGACTACCTACATCTTCAAAGCGAGCTTTCCTACTTCTTTCCTACTTGCTGGAGGAATATCCAACAGAGAAGCAGATCATGGAAGAATAGAATAGTGTTCCTGAGAAAAATCTTGATTAGATAGTAGAAATTGTGAAGAACAAATCAGCAGGTTAAAAAGGGCTAAGTGACAGGGCCTCCCGGTGATGCAGCAGTTGAGCGCTGGGTTGCGAAGCTGCCCACAGCCTCTGCAGCGCTGGTTTGATCCCTGGCTGTTCCCCGGCCACCGGAGGAGGGTCCCACATGGCGCGCAGACCTCTCCTGCCGCCCGCTGCTCCCCTCAGCAGTGTACTTCGGTCCTTCTGCCTGCTCTGCTCCCCGCTCTGGCTCTGGTGAATTCTCTCACCCTCCCGTGCTTCTGACTGTACCCAGTGCTTGTATAAATAAATAAATAAACCTTAAAAAAAAAGGGCTAAGTGATGAAGAAAACAGTATACATGCTAAAAATATCAGTTTAGATTTTTCATTGTAAGTCACAAATCTATGTAATCCCTGGATTCTAAGGGCATGACTAAGATTAATGAAAGTCACACTCAAAAAGTTCTATTGGTCTGTTAATATTTAGAAGAGATAAAGTAATTATTTTGCCCTTGACATACCAGCCAAATAATCTGTCAGAGGTGACTGCCCTTTCTGGGTTCTAATGAAAATTTATTTCACTTTTACCTTTTAGGATTCATTCATACAAGCAAGTATTATATTGGTGTTGAGAAAGCATATTATTTTATTTCCTTTTACTACATGACCTAACACGGACTGCTTGGGCAATCCAATCGAGAAAAGCTGAGATACTTTTAAATTCAAACTTGTTGAAAGATTGAGACTCGTACTTATTCATAAAGATTCAGGGAAAATATTTAAAAGATTCCTGAAGAAAGTGAAGGTGGCCTTGTTTATGGGTGTGTAAGCAAATGTCTGGCAGAAGTTGATGTTAATCTGGTGCGCCATGTATGACGAGTAGCACGTAAGGGAGCAGCTGCGTAAGTGTGCAAGTGATTAGTCTGTTTCCAGATCACCTCCACTGCTCTTCATTTGTGATTACTTCCTTTTGGCTGGAGGATGTGCTTGCCAAGCTGGCACCTCATCTCCCAAATGCCTTCTTTTTGCCAGTTTACAGGGGAGTGTTTTGGAGAAAAATGACTAATGCTTCCTTTTCCCTTCTCACAGATTAAATAAATTACATCTGCTTAACATATGCAGTATCTCTGGCACTGAGAACCAGATGAAAGCTCTCTGAATGACCTCAACTGACAGTTTCTCTTCCAGAAATGTATTCAGTTAGGGAGAAAATATCATGAGTAGCATGCAGTCCTTGATCTTTCTTGGGTCACATACTTGAGCTCAAATATTGGCTCAAGCACTTACTAGCTGTATAACCTTGAGCAAGTCACTGCTTTCTCTGTATCTCAATTTTCTTCTCTATAAACATTAAAACAATACTTAGCCTTATATAGCAGGGGTAAATACTGAAAGATATTTAATGAAACATTGATCAAAATCCCATTGGGAATTTCCTTTTTCTCACAGATTGGGGGAATGACTTGTCAAAATGACCTGTAAGTTTTCAAGGAAAATGAAAGGACTCATCAGTATTTTGAAGTGACTGGGGGATACTTGCCCTACCCAATCAAATATAAATGTGGACTACAGGAAGCTAGAGACATCAACAGAAGGAAAAGTTTGTGTGTAGCCAATTGTTTGTATTTAGCAAAACAAATTAGTAGAGATGGGATATAATTTATAAATGGGGTGGGAAAGTTAAATGTCCATTTGGAGTGTGATATTTCTTCTACTCTAGGCCTTAGTGATTTTCTTCTTGATCCTCAAATTTCAAGGGTCCCTTTCATCTAATAAGTGTTATTGTAATTAAAGACTTCAGACTTACCCATCTGGGTGACAGATGAAGGTATGTGTGTTCTTCAAGATCATTAGAGTACCAGCAAGTCTATGGTTGGAATATTGGAGCACACCTACAGTTAGAATGCAGGTAGAGGAAAAGGAACCCAATAGGACAATGTCAATGCCTGTCTGGCAGAGGTTGGCTCTAATCTGGTGTCCCATGGATCACAAACAGCATTTAAGAGAACAGTTGCATAAGCGTGTAAGTGATTGATCTGTTTATAAATCATTATTACTTCCTTTTGACTGGAGAACATATGTATTTATTTTAAATAAGAGTAAAGGTGTTAAATGAGGTTAGAAGGATGTCAAATGAAGAAAGATCAAGAACGACTGAGGCTGGAAAGAGCCTGATGGGTTTGATAAAGGGTATGAACTGTTTTCCTTAAGAGAATTTTCCTAGTAGCAAGATTAAGGCAGATTAGGTGAGGTAACAGCAGGCATAAACTAAGATTCTTTTCCATATAAGGAAAAAAATGGAACTCAGTAGCCTGAAGGGGAAATATTGGGAAAATTTTTCTAGTGTCAACTGATTTTGAACCTAATAATAAACTGTGTTGTAATGGTCTATGTGCTAGAGGTAATGAATTTTCAGAACAAAGCTGCAAGGGCAATGTTGTTTTCTTCATTTTGCAGATAAGGATTGGTAAACTAACATATGGGGACTGGTCAACTAGTTGGGCAAGTTAACTAGTCTATGGCACTTTTATTAAATGAGGATAATGGTACTTTATCACTGTTATGAAGATTAAATGATTACACATATCTATCTATAGATATATCTAAATGTATTTATACACATAAACAGAATTGTACTTAGCAGGAACTTAATACACAGTTCTGGTACCGTACACTGCCTGTATTTATGGTCATGGTGGCAGAACAATTTCATGGCAGGATTACTTTTCTTAGATATTATAGTCTTCTTTCCTTCTTTTATAGGTACTGGATGTAAGTAGAGAAGGCAAAGAAGAAGTATTCTATGGGCCAACACTCCCTTTTGCTTCTAATGGAATAGCAGCATGTTTCCTTCCAGCTCCGTATTTCACATGTCCTAACCTTCAAACTCTTCAAGTGCCTCATCACCGGATTGGCACCATCTGAAAAGCCAATGCTCTGTTCACCATCATGAACAGAAGGGAAAAGAAAGGCCTGACTTTTGGATACTGGGCATGAAACACTCAGTGCTCAATGCTTCCATGTTTTATGTCTTATCTTCAGATAAACATTAGCAAAAAATGAACAGTTTTCTAAAAACACATTATTGAAAACTCCTGTCTCCCTTCTCAGTGTGTGTCAACATACAATATAATATGTGTAACTTCTACTGTGGTATAGCTTAGTGCCAACTTAACGGTCCAATACTGTTTCATGGGTCTTTAGAGTATTCTTTGTACACTTTTTCTAATCAGTACTGTCTAGGACAACATGACACTGTTAGCAAGGTAATTATTTCACAAGTACTGCCATATATCTTAAAAAAAAAAACAAAACAACAACAAACTTCAATACTTAATCCCTTTACTACGTAAGCCCGGGTTTGTAATTTTTCTTTTAAAAACTTTACATTATGCAGTCCCACTCAGTAGAGACTCAGCATTATGACATCATAAATTTTTAAATGCCATATTTTATTCATTGTAATACGAATAGTAGTACAGTGGAATAGCAGTTGGAATACCCAAATTTCTCACCTCGATTACCCTGTGACCTTGGGCCAGAAACTTAACTTTACAGTGTTTCAATTCTCCTACTTTTGAAGGGGGTAATTATTGATTTCTATATCAACTCAAAAGAATGTTGGGAGGATTAGATAAATGTTCTGAATGAAGTATTTTGCCTAAGAAAAAGATGGTACTCAAATTATTTTACTATCTTTAGTAACTTTGAACAGGAAGATTAATTTTGAAGTTTAAAAATTACTAGATAGAACTTGGTAAACATACTGTGGAGTAAATGAGTCTTAAAAAATATGGGAAGAGATATACTCATTAGGAAAAAATAAGTTTATTGAAGGCAGATATTCCTAAACTTGTACAAATCCTTGACTCAAATAATAGCTCAAACATCGTTTGAACTCATTCAGTGAAAAATGACATTTTAAAGCTCCAAAAATTAGTTGTACTAATTATGGTACCATAAAGTGCTTTGACATAAATTTGAACCTAGAATCGGCAGTTCTAATAAAAAGTTTTTCCACCTTGTTAAAGGTTATGTCAATCTTGAGCACATGTGGGATTCTTTTCCACCGCCAATACATATTTTATTACTACCACTTTTAATAATGCATAAGAATTCTTTTCTAGGCTATATTTTTGGATTTGCTTTGTCTATACAAAAAATAAAGAATAAAACAACTCAACAATTACATTTGAGCAAAAATTCAACAAGTACAACATGACTTTTTCCTCTTTCCTAATCTTGTTAGGACCTAAGTAACCTCTGAAAAGGAAGACTTTACACTGACTTTCCTTGACATAGTTTAATCACTCAGAAATCCCTGCCTTACAGGAAATTGTCATTTTATTCATGTAACTACTTTTAGTAATTCAGAAGTGAATAAAAAAAGAATTTTTATCCTAAACAGAGTTTACTAACTTTATACACATAATGTTATAAGATACCTAAAACATTAATAAAAATATATATGCACATTTATAAGCTCTGGTTATTCAGATTAATGGGCAGGAAGGGAGGTTAAAGGTAAGGGAAAAAGGTAGATTTTTAAAAGGACACAGACTGAGACAGAAATACATAATTGTATTTGTACAGTTATGAAAAATAAAAATTGGCACTGATAGCTAATATTTAGAGAGATAAATCTCTTTAAAATATAAATCATTTAAGCCAAAAGTTAAAAATGTCTTTCCAAGTCAAAAAATGAACTCCAACATTTCAGAAGTGTTTCAACAAGGACCTAAAAGCAAGAACTGTTTCAGGTTTGCTAAATTTTCTATGTGACATGAACTTCTCCTCCAGCAGTTTTACCTCAAGAAACCATTAAAATCTATTTGTAATCCCAGACCCTTTTTCCAATTAAGAAAGGGAAAATGTCTAAAAATAAATTTGCCTGCCTGGGAATGGAGAAGCAGCCTAAGATTACTCTTGATTATTTTTATATAGATTTCTAAATACTCATTTAAAACAAAACAGTATATATTATTAAATCCCTTCTTGGTGAACTTTCCTTCATAGTTTTTGGAAACATCATTTACAGTTACAGCCAGAGAAAAGCATCCAAAGTACAACATCCACCTCCTACAAAAATACTAAGATCACTTACTAGATCGTTTCCCTCAAATTGTCAGTAGTAAAAGCTAACCAGGACTGTAGAAAACTAAACAAAATTTGGATAAACAAAATTCCACTGCAAAAATTCAAATATATATTTCCCATTAAAGTGAACTATCCTACAGTAATTCATCTTTTTTTATTCTTCAAAATTAAATATATTACATTTGTATTTGAATTATTGCATTAATCTGAATTTCCATAGGAAGACCATGATACCCCCTAACCATTTAAACATCAAAATTTACTTTAAAAAAGAAAAAGCAATACCACATAGATATTAGCAGAGTATTCTTACAGTGGAAGGGAAAGCCAGCAAGATACAAATCTCTGAAATAATGTGTGTGATAAAATGCAAAAACAATTCCTTCAATCTTTAACAACAAAATGACAAGTTATGATTAGGGTATTTTTCATACTTTTTCTGTTCATATTTTCCTTATAGTTTACATGTATATTGTATACCCTTCAGCCACTGCAATAGCTGAAAAACTACCTTAGTTTTACCAGGGTATAAAGGCAACAAAACTAAGATACAAATTATTCTTCAAATAGGCTTTTTTAACTTTGGTTTTTAAAAAGTCAATCTCATAAAAATAAAGTTGAATAATCACAGCTATAGTCTAAGCTAAATATATACATTTATTAGCTATATCTTTATTACAGGGACAGATAACTTATGTGTATAAGAATGTCCAGAATTTTTCTATAAGTATGACTCATTAATGCAATAAATTGGATAACCATCAGCACACTAACAACTTTAATAAGCAGAAATTAGTCCTAATTCAATCATTTGGTCCTGATTTTTGTAACCTTACCAATATAGTCTATCATAGAATCCAAATATGAGTATCTAATTTAATATGTGGAAAAATATGCTACTTTGCTAGCTTTCCAAACCAACTGTTTTAACTAAACAAAGCAAGCTATTTATGTTGGCATATGATACTCTTGACAAGGCAATATTCTTAAATCCTAGGAGGAGTAAGCATGGGAGTTTTTGTAAAATTAAGATTATTGTAAAAGTCTATCAACCAAAAAGAGGTGGTTTATTATGGATAACAGAGTTTTTGGTGAGGATATTATGCATTCCACCCTTTACCTGTGGAATATGAGTACTATGTTAACGCATAAAATTTAGGTAAGTTAGGTTTTTAAAAGGCTTTTCCCAACTATAGATGCTGGTTTAATTTTTATGCAACATATCTTATCAAAGGGGAGGTAAAAATTAAAACTGTCCAATATTCTTTTAAACTACATGACAATGGGTCCAAGTAATTCTTTAAGAACAAAGTAGCTTTAAAAATTTGTGAAGCGTGGAAGATAATTATGGATAGTGAAAACACATAGAGTAACAACCCATAAATAATTTTTTACATAATTTCCAGGTATAAAAATTCAAATATTCTTAAGAAGAAAATATTCTAGGAATAGGTAGTGATATAAAAGTTTTAAACTATGAAACTTCTAATGCAAATGAACTCAATACTAAAGATTTTGTTACAGAGGCAATACTCCATGTTTTTTCTTATCCATGGAAACCTAATTAAATGTTAATTGAAATTTCAATCATAACCAAATCTGAATGTCTAATAAAGTCCTTTCATCACCTTGTTGTCCTTCAATCATTTTTTTTACACTCCATTTGGTATTTTACAGAAATTACTCGACTCATGTATTCCAGTGTATATTTTAATTGTCTTCCTATTTAAGTGTGTTAAGTTTAGGTTTCTATAGAAATGGTAGTATCGCTAAGGAAGGGTAGCAAACTGAATGAGGTTCAGAATGTACAATGATTATGGCATTCACAGAAAGCAGCTGAGAGTCTAGTCTCCTGCCTGAGGTAAGTTTGGAAAGAAAAAGTAGTCAGGTGGCAGAATGTTTCTTGATAGAAGCATGTGAAAGCCCACTTATTAATAATAAGAAGTAATTGCAGGTTCAACAACAGGAAAATAGCATTTTAGGAAAATCTATCATGTCAGAAAGGTATGAAGAATAAATTGTAGGAAAGGAAACCATAGGCGAGATTATAATGCCCAATTAAGAAAAGTTTGGATGCAAGGGATGGTAAAGAATAAAATATCAAGAGCCTGTATAATGATCACCTGAAAGTGGAGAACAATGAAGAATCCAACATGCCTCTAAAGTTTTAAAGCTAAGAAACTTGGTAAACCAGTATATTCCCTGGGCGGAAAATAAGGCAGGAGCCAGTTTGGAAAAGAAGGTGACAGGAGAGACTAAACAAGTTGCCTTTACATTTCAGGAAGATCCAACTAGGGAGGTTCGAGAAATTTAGCACTAGAAATAGATTTGAGAGACAGAATTATGTTACCAGTTGACTACTAGAAGAATGAGACAGAGCAAAGGGCCAAATCTTACCACTGGGAGCAAGAATGAAGAATGTAAAGGTGTTTTCAAAACGGGATGTATGTAGGAAGGGTCAGCATTGGTGAGGAAGTCATGAGAAGATCAAGGAAAATGAAAATATCAGAGAGGACAAAGATCCAGAAGTAAGAACAGATACTCAGATTTCACCAACTGAGAATGGCCATATTACTGAAGTAGAATAAGACGCCTCAGAGATACAGGGTATTTAGGGCAAAATGGATATCAAGGAAGCAGGTATAATTTACTCTGCAGGAATGAGAAAAAGACAAGTAATATGTGAAGAATCAATATAGGCTATGAAGATAAGCAACTGAGTTAGTTTTTTTCTTCAATTAAAAAAGTTTTTGAAAATTTTACTTACACATTAAAACATATATACAGGTATTGTCATATACTTTTGCTGTCACTGATTTTTTCACTACAAACTAGTTAATTTTATTATCTACAGCTACATATCCTAATGTGTGATTCAAGAGCAGCATTTGCTATCCCTTAAATGTTTAATACTATAAAAAGCAAGATTCTCAAAGTTATATTTATTGATCTCCCCTGGAAGTATGGAGAGAGAGAGAAAGAAAGAAAGAGAAGGGAAGGGGGAGAGACAGAGAGAGACTGACTCTTTAAAAGGCATTTCCTTAAATAGAAACCTCAATGGCTGAAATTTGCAAAGTGATACATTATTAGTTTAGTAAGTCATATAATGAAGAGAAAATCACTGCTATATAAAAGCAGTCTCCTTTAGACTTCAAAGGTTACAATTAGAAGAGGGCTATTATTGTTTGCTGATTGCCTGCATTTCATTTTTAAAGCAACTACTTGAGCCAGAAAAGAGTTGAATGTTTTCATGATGGAAAAGTAGAACCATAATAAAGATTAGAGTTAGAGTTCCCAAAAGAAAACAAAATTATTTAAAGTTAGAAAACAGGACATGTAAGAAAACATTGAACAAAAGTAGGATTACTCATCTAGGGCAGATCATTAGAAAAAACAGAAACAAAACTGAGGTGCCATTGGTTATTTCATCTTATATTATGTATGAATACAGTGTTTGTATCTACATGCCTCCAAAGAGAATACAGGTCACCAAATACTTTCACATTATATGTCATTGATTCTTATAAGGACATGGTGAAAAATAAAAAGGATTTTTCTTCTTTTTTTCCTCCATTTAGAAAAAGGCTCAGAAAGAGCCTGTTCAAGTTCACAAAGCAGAAGTGGTTTTGAGACCTAGACGCAGGTGGCTTTCCAACTTTAGAATTGGAGCTTTTTTTTTTAACCCACTGCACATCACAAAAAGTCATGGAAAAGAATCTAATAGAAAATAAATCTGGATAAGATAAAAATGAGTTAAAGAATTGAGATACAACAGCAGTTAAAGGAAACTAAACTGGTTCTCAGTAAATATACAAGATGTCATGTTTTAATTAGTTTTAATTGAAGGGCAAGGAGATAAATCAGATAACTTCTCAGACTTGTTCATTTGTAATCGTAAGATTTTTCAGAATATTATTTATCCTGTTTAATAAAAATAATAATAAAAGCTCTTGTTTTCCCTCCTCCAGAAATGTCTTTTAATGATAACTCCAAAAGAATGAATAGAGAAAAACATCTGGCAACTATTGAAGCAAAGCACAAACACTTGCTATGTTTTTTTAATATATAAATACACTATCCGTAGTGTATTTATGTATTAACTAGATTCAGTTTTATTCCTCACAGAGGTAAGTGTACTTTGTAAGGCATGTATTTATCGACTTACCTCAAATTTACTATTAAAAAGGATAGCTAATATACAGCCCCATCTCCTGATCCTGCCCTCCAAAACAAACAAACAAACAAACAAAAAAGAATAGGGTAGTCAGGTAATTTGAAAAAAGTGTCACAGTAAAATGTTAACTAGTGAAAAATCAAAACAAAACAAACACAATCACTCACAAGGCAGGGAGTTACATTATAAAGAAAGTCCATGGATTAACCAGTACAAACATACTTAGTCATACACAAATAATACTCCCAAATAGAACATTTCTTTAATTTCGTTTAAGTAAAATATATTTAAAATAGAATGAGGTTTGTCAAGTTCCAAAAATCCTACACATACTTAATTAACCTTTATTTCCTTATTTATATACATCTTAGAAAGTTTTTTTTAACACAACATTATACAATTAATTAAATGAAGGCAGAATGGTACAAATTGGCATTAGACGGTTATAATTAATAGAGATAATTAATCACAAAATATATTAGGAACTATCATTTTTCAGTCTCTGTATCTCATCTTGTCCCACTTGTCCTAGGTGATATAAAAGCTTGCTATAGGCTTCCCTGTGTAAGAAAAAAGAAAATAATGCAGGTTTATTTATTACCTTCTCTATTACTTTTCATTTAAAGTATTAATAAACTGAGCTTATCTGAATGTATGTCTACACACAGTCCCTTTCCCCCTCAACGCACAAAGTATTTTGATTCTTTCAAACTTTTTGATACTTAAGAGTTCTGGTGTGACTGCTGACACCTTTAAAACAAACTCTTTAGACTATAGGCTTAGTCTCACAATGTCACATTATTCTAACAGTCTTGCCCATTATCTCTTGGATTATAAGCTTTATTATCTATTTTTGGCAAAAAAAAAAAAAAAAAAAAACCACAAAAAAACATAACATCTAGTTGGACTTCTCATCTTATTTACTGAATAAATACGATACAGCTGAGTTAGTAAGTCAGGCATTCCTCAAAGGACTGATTTGCCACCATGTATTTTATAGAAAAACACAATGCGTAAGATTCTGAAGTACACTCCCCAATAAGGAACAATAAATGTGTTTTGGGTATTAGCTGCATTGCTAAAATATACAGCTCTCTAAGGTGGTCACTTTGAAAAGAATAATATGTGAACAGATGTGTCAATCATAGTACTGAAACATTTTTTGACTCAAAAGGACACACTTCAAATTTTTGGGCCTGAAAAAATGAGCCATTTCTAGAAAATGTACCATTATCGGAAAGACATAACCAAATGATAAAACTTACCTTTGTGTTATATTTTTGCCAACACCCCATTTCCGCTCTGAGTCCTTCAGAGATTGAGTGAGGGTAGAAATCAAGTGGATAACAACCTGCTGGTCCAGTGCTGCCACAGTTTCTAGAATGCTGTAAATCTGATAATTGTATGTCATACCATAATCCTGGATAAAATGCCTGAAAGTAAAACGAGTTACTTAGGACTACTTCTGGGGCAGTTCTTTGGTTGCTATCTATATAGCAATCAGCTGTAACTTGAATACAAGAAAGATCATTTCATGTGTGATTACCTTAAGAATCTAGATGCCACGGGAAGATTCTATCACTTTAAAATAGGCTTTATCAGTATGAGCCAGACTAGAGTGATGACTCCTCCCAACAGAGGAAAGAGTTGGAATTCCAGCAGGGAAAATCTAAGTACAGAACACTTTTTTGCTCTACTCTGCATATGGAAATTTAGTTATTTTTTAGTTCTTTATATTTATAGATAAACCAAACAGTTTTATGAGGAAATCAAATTATTTGTGATTTTTATATTTCTTAACAAGAGATTTTAGACCCACAGAGAACCTAGATAAATTAGAATTACATATTCTAATCCTAAAATTTTCATCTCCCCCTTCTCCACAAAATAAAAGCCACCTTGCTTAATAAATTGTCCATAACAAATATGCAATTTTATTCATATAGAATCCTTTCTTTCCTCTTAGTAAAGGTTTTACAGTTTTCACAAATCTACTTATTTCAAGGGATCACAATTTGATTAAACTGGAAACACTTGGCAAGAGCCAGTTATGTGATGAGAAAAGAATAACTGAGAAATCAAAGATCCTACAAAGGATGAAGGAAATGAACCCAAATTATTTATTCTGGCAGCGCAAAGGAAGAGATACATACAATAAAAGTGAACTGGAAGAAAGTGTGAGAAAGACTTAGAACAAGACTCTAAAGAAAGCAAGGCAGGAGAAAAACAAAACAAAACAAAACAATGATCTTCAAGTTGCACTGTTATTTTTGTGAATAAATAACAAATTACTCCCACAAAGTTTGTCCTTCACAAATTAAATGTAATGGAATGTTCTGGGTCTAAAGTATCTAATGCAAGTAAGAAAACCCGGCACATGCACTTCTACACTGGATCCTGAGTGACATGTTTAGTAGCTCTGAAGGCCTGTGCACCTGTCGAAGTGACTCATGTTTCCCACTTCTCCTTAAATACATGTGGGAGTCTTCCTTACTAAATCCTCAGGTAATTTTTCACGTCAGCTCACTTACCTGTTTCCCAGCAGTTTTATTTTTTAATAAAATAACACAATGTAATAAAACTACTGCCAAAAACACAATAATTGAAATACTATAAACAAGGAGTAACACATTATGTTTTGGATAATTAGTTATTTAAAAAACATGTTGGCTGTCAAATGGCTGGCAATCGTCCCCTTGCCAGTTGGCATATTTTCCAGTTACCTAAACACAGAAGTCAGCTGGGTGGCAGGTTCTCCTTCTGACCCCAGTTGGCAGGCTTTTACCATGTATTGCAGGTTCTCTGTGGCCAGCCTTTTAACTAGGAAGAAAAATTATAGCATTACACACACTGTGTCTGAATTGACCATCTGGATCCTCATTTTAATGAACACTCGATTTGGAAAAATATGTTGTTTTCTTAAAGTATGTACATGCCTTTTTATTATTTTTCAAAATGAAATAGTTATGAGTTTTTGCTTTGTTCTAAAGTATAGCTCCCATTTTAAGGACATAGAAAAGCTGAAAAGTCTGTTTTTTACAACTAACTTTAAAAATACATGTGAAGATATGTCTATTAGAGCCTATATTCAAAAACACTGTATCACCATTTAATTCTGCAAACAATTATATACTATCCAATGAGTTTTTAATACATTAGCTGATTTATAAATAAGCATATTATGTTAATTCATAAGAATATTCAACCCCCACACTAACAAATATATAACGATAGCAATTAGAAACCAACAATTTACCTTCACTTAAAATTTGCCAAAGATATATATATAAAATACACAAAATATATACATATATATACACTTATATACACAATATATATAAATCCATAATTCATGTTATCTTCCTTTTAAAAGATAGCAAAGTTACAGGAATAACTAACATTTTAAAAATAATCAAATTTTTAAAAATTGTGCCCTTATATATAAAAATGAAAAAAATTACAAAATATTGTAGAAAATTCAATATGTTGCAAATGTCACCAAATTTTTGTTTTTGACACATTCAATTAAGTAGCTGGGAGAAAAGTACTTTATAAATAAGAAAAATTCCAGAAAATATAAACCATTATAACAAAAGCACAAAATACATGATGTATATGAACCTCAGGAAATATTATGTGGTGATGGTTCCCATGGCATGACAACAGTGGATAAAGATGTAGCATACCTGTCTTTCTTTGAATAAATAATCTCATACCCTACAGCTTTCTGATCTCTACTGACTTTGTTGAGTAGTCAGCTGTTAATCTTACCAGAACTTCCTTTGTAAGTGATGATTTTTCTTTTGTTACTTTTAAGATTTTCTCCTTGTTTTTGGCCTTCAGCATTTTTACTATAATGTGTCTCTCACCACTTGATAGTTAACTAATATTCTTTTTTAAAGAAGTTAACAAATCTCATGAAAGGACGTAGCTTATAAACTATTTGCCTTGGGGAAGAGAACAAAACTAAAGTAGACTGAAACACGTTAGTTTTAAATGTTTTACCTTGTCCAAACTCAGCTATTAGGGGCAGTTTATTCTTTAGCATAAGATACATACATGTGGGTGTGTGTGCATTATACATTAATGTAAAATAACCATATAGTTTTATAATTATCAGTTTGACTGATAGGAAAGAGTACTTTCTTAATCCGTGAACAAAAATTACAATGAATGCAGGGGCCTCCCTGGTGGCACAAGGGGTTAATCTATGAAGCTGTCTATAGCCACTGCAGCACGAGTTCGATCCCCGGCCGGCCAGAGAGCAACCCACATGGCGCGGCTGGCGCGGCAGACCCCTCCTGACTAGCCCGATGCTCCCCTCAGCAGTGTATTTTGGCCAATCTGCCCGTTCTGTTCCCCACTTTCTCTCTGGTGAATCCTCTCACCCCCCCACACCTCTGGCCTGTGTCCCAGCTATTGTATGTATAAATAAATCTTAAAAAAAAATTATAATGCATGCAAACTCATATGCAAACTAACCTTGGGGTTCACTGACCAACACCAAACATTTTAAGACACCAGGGAGGAGAAGTTCAACCTCAGCAATATCTATGTTAGTTTCTTTGAACAGTTGGAGGGTGAAGGCCAGAACGGATGCTAAACGAGGAGGGAGCAAGGACCTTTTATATTCAAAATAGGATTTCCTGGAGAAAAAGCACAATTCAAATTTTTCTTGTATTTACAGTATCAATGTGCAGAATAAGGTGTCACACAATTTAAAGATACTGGCAATTTTTTCACACCACCAAATTAATAAAGCATAATTTTTTAAAAGTGTATGTTTTACCATGCTATCATCAAGCATAAGATTTTAGAAGCAATGATTGTACATCCCTCTGGTATGCTACAAAAGTCAAAGAGACCACAGACACAATCTAAAGTTAAAGCAACCTGTTTTAAAATGAACTGAATCAAAATCTAAATGTAAATCTATTTGTTAATTTATGCTTTTCCTTTCTAATATAAGCCTGAAATTCTTTATCAGTTCCTCAATGATACAATATTTTCTTTAATGTCAAATTTGCATATAGAAATCTCTCCTCACATTTATTTATTTAGGGATTTCGAAGGGGTGTTATTTTTCCAAATCAGTAAAAAACTGTCCTAGGAATTAGCCTCCCATTCTAGCTTTACCACTTTCCTTTTCTTAGAAAGTAAAAGAGTCAGAGAGGTAATTAAGCATTTAATATCTTCCTTTAAAGCAGGACAAATTTTAGTATTACAACTCAACAGAGATCATGAAGATAATCTATCTGACTCAGCTTGTATATTTACTTCTTATAACAGAATTGGTTCATTACAGGTGTTCAATGTACATTTTAAGTGAATAAATAAAAGTAGAAATTGGTCAGTTTTTAAAATATCTAGATAATATGGAAAATTGTTAAGTACTGCTAAATCTAAGCTAGACATCCATACATATTTGCAAAGTAGTAATAATTTGCCAAAATGAGGAATAGAAATCACTAAGGATTTATTAAAAACTTCATAAGGGCAGGAATTGTCTTCATCATCATTTCCTCTCCATATAGTGACTTCCAACTAACACTACATATTTGAAGATTCATTCATTCTTTGAGGGAAAGGGCTTTGTCTATTTTGTGCACTGCTGGATTCCTAAGGTACAGAATAAACAGTTATCGAGTACCTAAGGTGTGCCAGTTACATGTCTAAGAATAAGAATGTTAAATAAAATATGATCTGTGAAAGAAAAGGGCTCGTCATCCAGTGTGAAAATTGGACAAGGAAAACTAAAGAAAATCATAATACAGTATAACAGGTGCTTTGAAAGGCTCAGGGATTTGGAGGAAGGAGCCCTAACTGATATGGGGTACTGTAGTCAGAGAGAGGCATGTAATGGAAGAAGTCACAGGAGGCAATCTCTTTCGTGAGTATTTTAAGAAAAAGAAACAGAATTGTTATATTTTTGGTCTTCAACTAGAAATGTGAAAAATGTTTTCACTGTATACTAAGTACATAGGAAAGTCAACTAACGGAGCCAGAATCCAAAACTGGGTTTCCATCTTTATGACCTTAAGAATTTAATTTTTCTTTTGCACTTATCATTTGGTTTGTACTAAAATTACATATGCAATGTCTCAAACACAGTGGTAGGACTTTTACAATCTTGTTGGGAATTTAAATACAAGGCAAAAAAAAAATATGATTTAGCTAATTGAATTGTACAGAGCATATGTCTTCAGAATGAAGGAGGCATCATGGTATGCTGAGCTAGCCAGTGTACATCTTATAAAGCATAGGCAGAACTTAGCCCAGAGAAATGGCATTTTAATGGAGAAAGGGGTATGAACAGAGCTTTGTGCAGGGGAATTTTAAAGCAATTTAGAGGGATAGTAAGTAAACCACTAATTTTATACATGACATTATATATAGTATGTTTGGAAAAGTTAAGTGACATATCATGGAAAGCTAAGGAGTAGGGAATGCATTTTCATGGACCGAAAAAAGGAGCAAATGAAGGTTTGGGGGTAAGGAAATAATGATAATAGAAAAATTTTTTAAAGAACAGTAAATCCAGGACCATTATTTAGACTGGCATGGAAGAAGACTAGAGAGAGTGAAAGTCGTTAGGAGATTGGCAGTACTGTAAGTATAATGTGACAAGGGACGATAGATGTGAAAAGAAAAGGGAACAATCATTTACCAAAGGAGGGTAAAAGCAGAGGAAACAAAGACTATAGTATTTCTGAACCTGAGTAAAAGGACACGAGGCCACAAACAAAAGGTCAGAAAAGAAAACAGATTTTAGACATGGAATTCTACGAGACATGATTGATAATACCAGGTCATTAAAACTATCAAGTCATTAAAAACAGAAAAAACACTAGATAAGAATCATTAATTCTATATGAAGCTAAATATGCCACAAAGAAAGGTATTTCTAATTATTTAAACTTCTAATGGGCAGTATAATGTATAGAGTTTAGTGGAAAATGTAAGAAGTTTCATTTAATCATATGCCTAATAATAAAACTGAATTGTTAAGACAGAATAAATTAGCAAAATAGGATTTCATACTGCATCCTTTTTTATATTTACAACACTTACTATTGTATTTTATAAAATATAATCACTCTATTTTATACAGTATAAAATAAATTATTGCTTAATCTATTAAAAACTAAAAATCAAACCTTATCTTTAAGACACATAAGGAAAATAGTATCTATGGAGAGAAAACAGAAGCAATTTAAAGAGCATTGTCTTAGGCTACCAGGAGCAAAAGCCATTTCAATAAATTCTTGAGATAATGCTTCTACAGAAATAAAAAACAACTTTCTAAACCTAAGTGTTGCCAATACTTTTGAGATGCCTTGCTACCTTCTAGTAGATTAATAAATTGTAAATACCACCTATTTCTAATATTTAGATGTACCTTAAGACTTGTACAATGCATTTCTTTAGCGATGACATCGATGGAACAGTGGCTGAGTTTCTCAATGCCAACAAAACAGGATGCTGTCCAAGACCTAAAGCATGTGGTGAAGCTGGAAGAAATCGCCCAATATACTGCTCAATAACATTCCCGAGCAATTGAGACAAATAGGCATTTGGATTTTGATATTGACAACACACGATACACATACCCTATAGGAGGAAAAAGCAAAGAAAGAAATACTAAAAGGTAAAGTCAAAAAAACCCCAAAAACCAATGTTTAGGAAATTATCAATTTAGCCCATGGCATTAACATTCATGTTAGAACTTACAACTTATCACAATAAACAAGAACACCTCTCATTACTACTAGATGACATTTGTTTGAAGTTTTCTTTTTTTTTAAGTTTATTTATTTATTTATTTATTTTATTTATTTATACAAGCACTGGGTACAGTCAGAAGCACGGGAGGGTGAGAGAATTCACCAGAGCCAGAGCGGGGAGCAGAACAAGCAAAAGGACCGAAGTACACTGCTGAGGGGAGCAGCAGGCGGCAGGAGAGGTCTGCGCACCATGTGGGACCCTCCTCTGGTTGCCGGGGAGCAGCCGGGGTTTGAAGTTTTAAAGTTGCTAAGCATGGGTAACATCTGTGCTGTGTTGTCTAGCCAAACATGCATGTCTTTGGAACATGGATAAAGCATGCAGGGGGAAAGTGTATAAGGAGACAAAGGAAGTTTCTTTTTTCTTTTCAACCTCAGAAAACACGACTATTACACAGGTCAGTATGTGTGTGTGTGTCTATGTATAATTATAAAGTTATAAGTTACATTTTTAGGTCAGTATTTCAGCTTAGGATACTGGTCATTTTTTTTTAATTGGACTTTAAAATTTATGCTAAAAATCTTATATGCCAAGAATATTGTAAGTTAAAAGAAAATTAACAATCGGAGACAAAGAAAAAAGATTGTCTCAGAATAATGAATGACACATAATTCTGAGTTTTCAATATGCTAGGCATTGTGCCACATGCTTTATACTATTTCATTTAAATTTCTCAAAAAATCATGGAGTTGGTCTTACAGAGCTGGGGTTTAAGGAAATTAGGAGCATGCTCAAGATCACACAGAACTCACAATGTCTTGTTGCATGTCTGCTGATTTAATACCTTCCATATAGAAGTTAACAAAATACTTTCATATAGATTACAGTATTTGATACTTACAAAGAAACCAATACCCTGAGAAAAAGATTTTTTTCCTGCCAATTACTAAATATTGAATATTCCTAAGCACAGGCTATCACCAACATAGCAACAAGTATGTTCCAAAAGTTCATTAGTAATTTGGCGCTTTGTGAATCAAAATGTGTTTTCCCAGAGAAAAAATTAGAAATGTTTGTTATGTTTCCATTTTAGCTATTTACCCAATAAGAAATTTCTAAAGTTTATTTGTAATGAAAAATTGCATAGAGCTGTTATAATTCTAGAAATTAAACAACTGGGGGAAAAATGGGGCCCCCCCTCCCCGCTTTCTTCAATGCTTTGTTTAAGGAAAAGCACATTAAGTCAGAAGATGAAGTAACAGCTAACTTTTGAAAATTCTGAAAAGGAGAGCTGAGTACATTAAAGAAATAAAAGCTACAGCTCTAAGTGAAGTTTGCCAAATGAGTAATAACTCAAACTTTTACAATTTATTATAATTTTGGTTGAAGAGGACCACATGGGACAAACACTCCAGATTTTCCTGCTGCCCACTATTGTCCTTTACCTATCTGCCCCTCTGGGGTTGGCACCCAGGTTTTACCTTTCTGTTAGTGGACAATTTTATACTTTGTTTTAAGAGTTTAAATTTTCGGGGCCTCCCCTGGTGGCACAGGCAGTTTAATGCAGCGCTGTGAAGCTGTCTGCAGCCTTTGCAGCACCAGTTTGATCCCAGCCGGCCGGCGAGGGTCCCACATGGCGCAGCAGACCTCTCCTGTCTCGCCCACTGCTCCCATTAGCAGTGTATTTCGTCAGTCTGCCTGTTGTGTTCCCCACTCTGTCTCTGGTGAATCCTCTCACTCTCCCGCGCATCTGGCTTGTACCCGGGTTCTTGTATAAATAAAATAAATCTTAAAAAAAAAAAATCTTAAAAAAAAAAGTCAGTTTAAATTTTCTTAGAAATCTCAAAACTCTAATAAAACTCATTTGTGAAAGAGACTGTTCATTACCTAATCAATATCCGTTCAGCTTCCCTTGCTACATGCAAAATTAAGAAACACTTATCTTCAGTATCAGGCACGAGTGAATAACACAGTATACCTCTAGCCCCTCCCTGTCTTGTGAAGGACAGAGTTCTATTTGTAACAGCCTATTGGCCATCACTACCCAGATATTTTTCCAATAGCATTTCAAACTAAAGCTATTCAGAAATCAATTCTTACCTTTATCCCTGTATCTCTACAAAGTTCCATTTCAGTGAGCAGCATTTCTATCTACATAAGAGTTACTCTGGAATCTAGAAAAACCACTCACTCATCAAGTCTTTCTGATCAGAGCTTCTAACTGTTCTTAAAATCTACTGTGTGGACTCTGTACCCCTGACATAGTTCAAAAACTGCAGATAATGAACTACTCACAGTCCTTCAAGTCTTCAATCTAATTTCCACATCAACTATCTTAAAAATTGCCATCAGAATCATCTTTCTAAAATGTAAATATGATAGGTTACTCACACGTCTCCACTCAAAATTCATCCACATTTTCCATGTGAAAAACACCACCAAACTTCTTAGCATGGCATATAAAGCCCTCCATTTGTGGTTCCTCTCATATGAGTCTCTAGTTATAATTTGCTTTTCCCCAGTGTGTCATATTTTCTTAAAGCTCATGCTGTTCCCTCTGACAGGAATAGTCCTACAATTCCTACACATTCTATTGTTTTATACCTGATATCCCCTACAGTGTCTTCACTTTTATCTCCTTATCCCAGTCTGGCTGCCAGACAGCTGAGGCCTAGATGGAAAATATTCAGCACCCCACTGTAAATGTCCATGCCATTGTATCTCCTCTCTCAACTTTGAACTTCTTAAGGTGATTTTGTCTTACCCATCTTCGTTTTTACAGCCAAACATAAACGGAATTGAAAACTCAGTCAATGGAAGTGTCACATGTAAACATGTCCCTTAACAATATATGCCCTAGGGCCTCCCCTGGTGGCGCAGCGGTTGAGCGCTGGGCTGCAAAGCTGCCGGCAGCCTCTATAGCGCCGGTTCCATCCCCGGCCGCGGGCGTGGGTCCCACATGGTGTGCAGACCTCTCCTGAAGCCCGCTGCTCCCCTCAGCAGTGTATTTCGTCGATCTGCCTATTCTGTTCTCTGCTTTGGCTTTGGTGAATTCTCTCACCCTCCCGCGCTTCTGACTGTACCCAGTGCTTGTATGGATAAATAAATAAATCTTAAAAAAAAAAAAAAAAATATATATATATATATATATATGCCCTATATCTATAGTTTGTGAGCTATGTTTTAAGGCAAGTTTGAAAAATAATTTTTTCTTTTCTTTTAAGTAGTCATTCTTACTCTACCTGGAGATACAAAGGAAGACTCTTCTGAATTGCAGTCAACATAGGTGCAGGCAGCTCCTTCTCTTGCTGCAACACTGTATGTGGCAGCAATAAACAATCTATAATCCGGAATAGCAATTTTTGGGCTTTAGAGGTGGCAAAGATCTGTGCCCATGATTTAACAAGAGTTCCTAACAAAGAAGAGCAGCAATAGCAATTATGATTATCTTTTAACCAGAAAATTTGTCATTTCACTAAAAATACTATATTCAAAGACATAGGATCAAGTTAAAGTATGCAATAGGAAGATATTTATCAATATTAGAATTCTTTTTATGTCAAATCATGCATTTCACTAAAGAGATAAATTTCTCTCAGAGTTCTGGGTTAAGAAAAACAGACATTTGCTGAGCAACTGGCACTTAATACATATACACTCACATACACACAATGTGATCTGTTTAAATATTATGTGACTGAATATAGAATGGATATTGAAATTAAGTCCATCTCCCTTTTCACTTTGGATGGTATGAAACTCAAGAGGCAAGTTTATCATGCAACTTTACGAATATGCTAAGATTATACAGTAGGCCTGTTGTGTGCATACTCACTTTTCCCTGTATCGCATCATGCTATGTACCACATTTATTTTCTTGACATCCTCATTTCTTTGTATTTTCAAACTTATATGTAAGTTTACAGGCTGTTTCAACTGAGTTTGCAACAAGAGATATATCTACATTTTCTTATTAAAATAGGAAAAAAGGATTTGCTGCAAAACCTTCAAGCAGTTAGCCTTGAACTTCAATTTTTATCTTTTCACCGTTTAATGTCAACAGTGCTAATTTTGATACTAAAGGAAGAGAAACAGACTTCTTTGCTACATGAAGTATATTATGGTTTCTTTAATGCTAGGAGTCTGTCAATTGCTGCATTTGATGATAGTAAAGCTTAACAAATGAGTACCCTGTCATTAATAAAGTAATTAAGAATAGATATATAATTCTCATTAGAATATATTATAGTTACTGAGGTTTCTTTACTGAATACTGAATACTGATTACTGAATACTGAGGTTTCTTACTGAATATAAAAGGACCTCATTAAGTGCTTGTCCAAAGAACAATAGTGGTAATATACTACATAAACTTTTATATTTTATTTCATCTTAGAAAGCAAAAAAGGTGATAAAATTCAAAGTCATTACAATTAAACAATAATTTTAAAATTCAAGTTTTGAAGGAAAACAAAAACATACTTATAGAATAGTATTTTTGATGTTTTAAAAAATCAATAATCACTTTTAAAAAAACAAACAGCAACATTAATCTCCTGTTTGAAAGAAAATATAATAATCACTCATAAAGAAACACAATGCTCACTTAGCAATATTTTAAATAATGTTGGCTTGCTCCTCATTTTTTCCAGTAGGTGGAAAACTTGAGAATGGCAGCAGTGTAAGATGAACTCACATTCTAACTAATATTAATTTGCCTGTAAGAGTAACTGCCATCACCACTAATATTTGAAATTATTCCGATCATTCTCAGGTGTCACATAAGTCTTAGATAAAGAGCAGGGGCCTCCAAACACATCATCTACCCTTGCATTGGTTAAAGTCCTTTGCTGAAGACCTTAAGTTTTATGAAGCTCATAGAAAGTAGAGATGATCTATCTGTTTTACTGATATATAAGATTCCTATTATTTTAAGTGTCAGCAAAGAACACTGAACTATGTGGTATTAAAAATTCAAAGAGAACAAAATTTTTTAAGTAAAACAATTCAGGAAAGATTTAAATATATAAAGTACCTTTTTTTTAAAAAATGCACATATTTCTTTGGGCTATCAACATTATTTACTGATAAGGCAAAAAATATAGAAAAATACTAGTATGGAGACACTCCTACAATGGAAAGAAAACTGAACTGTAAGAGTTCTAAAGTATTTACTTATTTTCAACTATATGTATACTGTGTATCTTTAAAATAAGAGGATCAGGATCATTAAAAAGTATATGTAAAATATTGTTAGGAAGTAACTTTGCTCACTTAGGGATATTAAAAAATATACTTTGTACTATTAGTTATGCATATAAAATTGTTAAATTCCAGAAATATACTCAGTAAGTGTTCTTGTTGCTCGAATTACAATATGGTGATGGGAATAGAAAGTTCAAAAGATATGGCCACTACCATGAGTAAGTTTAAAATTTAGTATGAGCATGCCAAATACAAGTAATCATGACAAACAGCAAACTACAAAAAATGCTGTAAGAGGACAGAGGAAGGACAATCAAGGAGAGCAAGTCACCTGGGTATAGGAAAGTTGGGGACATTTGGGCTGGGAACTGCAGGGTCATGGGTAGAACTACAATTACAAAGACAAAAGGGAAAGTGACCAAAAAAAATCAAAAGGAAAGGCATGGAAACAAAATGTAAGAGATACAAGAATGAGAAAAACAAAAATTTATTAACAGGAGGAAGGCTAAAGATAATATTGATGGATCAGTCATACTTTCTCAAAAATTACTGAGCTACGATTATGACCCCAAATGCTTTAATATGGAATATGGTTTTCTTGACATTCCACTAGCAGCCATGCAAGTGAACAAGTTAGGAACTGGTATGTAAGTATATTCAACTTCAATGCACTCAAAACACTATCAGACTTTCTCTACATTTTTCTAGAGCTTTAATAGAAAACAGTGACTTACATATTTCTAATTTCTAATGTGTATATGGGCAATGCTGTAGCAATTTACTTATTCCATATCTCTGATTTCTAGACAAAAGCAAAGAATACAGATCTACTTGACACTAAGTCAAAAATCAACCATAAGACAAAACAAAGAAGGCTCCCAGTTATACAACAGGAAAATTTTGCTTTGGGTCTATATATCACCAATGCAAATATGATTATGCAGTTCCTGATAAAACTATCATATCTCTTACTAATGAAAAATACCTTGAAATTATACATTTAGCTTGATACAAATCTATCGGAGCCAAAATAAATGCTGCAATACTTATTAAGCTACATTTTATGGTGCTAAATTTATAATAAATTCTCTTATGTTTTTCTCTGAAATTGAAAAGCATGAATTGCTACTATCACTTCCAATACAATTCTACATCATTCATATTTACACATTCCCCATTCTCCTTTATCTTTCACAACAAAGATAAAAGGTTTCAGGCAGCCCCAATCAGGTTTAGTCATATGTTCACAAGATCAAAGCAAACAGATATAAGATTTCAGCCACAGAGAAATAAAAAACAAAAAACTTAAATTCTGTTTAAAACTTCTAAGGAAATCCTTCTCATTTCCTTTTACACAGTTCCTGTTTTTCGTTTACAACATGGTTCTAGTGAACAAAGATATTCAAATTACTGAATGACTGACTTCCTAAGAAAGGATGAACTATAAGAAGGATGAACTCTGTTGTTATAAAACAGAGTAAAAGATTGCTTTTTGAAAGTAGAAAGCATCGTATTGTGAGAAACAAGATTTGAAGCATAAATATCTTTAGTGTTGTAATAAATCCTTTCCTGACCTCCTTCACACAGAAAAGAAAAAAGATAAAAGTTATGGTTTCTTATGTCTTAAATTCTAATAACATGGAAAAGCATTCAAAAATCATTTAAATTATCTAGGTATTTACAATATAAGCGATTCACAACCGACTATTGACATCAAATTGTTGTTGGTCTATTTTCTGTATTGATAATTAATTTTCATAGTAATACAAGCATAACCAGAAAAGTCATGAAAGGAGGTGGAATAAGACAGAAATTCATTGAAAGCCAACATGAATTATTTTAAACTAAATCACTGTCTTCCAGATTATTCTGATTGTAAAAAAAGTAGCGATTTAGCCAGAGTACTAGTATATTCCTATCCACCATGAACATACAGGCTCAACCTAAGGAAATTTTAATAATGTCAGGAATACATACCCATCATCCCATAAGTCAGTTGCAGTCCTGCACTGGAAATTTTTTTCCCCAAATAAGGTTTTATATATTTTAGTATTTCACCAAGGTATTCTAAGGACTTTGTGACCATGGCAGATTTATCGGAAAGTGTCTGCAGATTCCTGTAAGTTATACCAACAGCCTATAAATAACAGAAAACATGATTTAGCTTTCTAAGGTTTATACAATACAGACTTTGGAAAATAAAGTAAAATTTATTTCTCTTGCTACACACACACACACACACACACACACACACACACCCCTCTTACATTTAAGCCTTCACTCTTAATTTTCCAATATCTGTTCACAGCAATTAAATGTAAGCAAAAAGAAATTAAATATTACATTTAATAATTTAGGTACATGTTAAAGGAAGAATAAGAAATAATTTCACCAGCAATTATTTATACATGGTCTGATTCAGCAAAATATTAATGAAAACATACATGGAACTTACTGATATATAAGGATCTTACAACCAAATCACATGAAAACTTTCAAACAGGTTGGCTCATATTCAGTATACAATTGGGAATTCCAAACCTCCCATTCCTCAAGAAATACTTACAAGTATGGTTACCACAGTCTTACAAGTAAGATCTCTATTATTTAAGTTCAGTTTTGTGATATGAGATGATTTTTTTCCTAAATTTTCATTATGAGCCATTAGATGCCATTAGGAAGTTTAACTTCCTAAGAGAAAAGAACAATGAGGCACAAAGGGAGAGATGGCAAAATGGGGAGGTGGCAGAGACAAAAATGTGAGGCAAGGAAGAGAAGGGTGAAGTGGGAAGAAGAAGTGGAAATAAATGAGAGAATAAGCTGAGCAATGGTGAGAATAGGCAAGAGATGAGAAACTGAAAAAGAATCACAGGAAGACTGGTTAGATATGGGTTAGAGGATTTGAGAAGAGTAAAAGTTTTCTTTATGGGAATACACAGTGGATTTCAATGATCCAAATTGTACCACAAATGACACCAATACACATAAGTGATTTTTCTCTGAGCTCTCAGCAGATAAGACCAAAAAAAAAAAAAAAAAAAAAAAGGAAAAGAAAACAAGTTGAAGATTTGTAGTCTGACCAAAGGCTAAAATATGGAAGACTGAACACTACTACGAGTATGCGAAATGCAGTCTCCTCAGAGGTTTAATTAAAGTGGACAAGAAAGGAAATGAGATCTTGAGAGGAAGATGTGCTTGGAAAAGAGTGAGTAGAGAAGGTCATGCAGAGAACTGGAGAAACAGTGATAGTCAGAGTTCTTAGATGTTCCAGCTGATGCCAGGCTCAGGGTTTAGTCATGGGAGAGGGTGGATGAAGTAGAGCAGGCAGCAGAAGAGATGACTGAAAAGCTATTAGCAATGCTTTGAAATGAAGGCTGAAGGTTAAGTTATCCATGGTAATTCATTTGATCAAATCAGACCTACTTAAAAATGTAAAAAACCTCCACACTGTTCACAAGATAAAATACAAACTTTTTATACCGAGATGCTCTGAATTTTTAACCTATGATTGATCAACTACTTGGCACAAGTACATAACCCAATGTATATTGTGTATTCTTAGACAAGTAAAAGTACTCTAAGATCATGGACTACTTCTTTGGTTCTTCAATTCCTGAAGAAATACTAGCATAATACAATTTAGCATTTAGCAAATAGCTATTATTTACTGAGTGGTGAATGAGTGATTAATTTGGACTCTACTGTCATGATTCTACCTTCCTTTCATGTCCAATATGATTCCCAGCATACCACAAATTTCTAATTCATTACAGTTGAGATCCAAGCAACAACTGAGTAAAAGACTCAAAAGAAATGCGCATTTTACAACTACAATTGCTAAGTATTTTTAGAATTTATGCGACATTTATGTCATACAATTGTACTTTAATTTAATGGAAGTTCACATTTATAAAAAAGAGCTTGTCTGTTGTTATTATTTTTATTGCAGTTAATACCATTGACTATGGTAAAATAAAAGAACTTTTAACTGTGAGTAGTTTACAAAAACACTAATCCAAACACACTAACAACTTCAACTAGGCTTATAAGATATATTTCTAATAAAATTAATAATTAAAAATTAATGTTGAATAAGGCTATCATTATGGAGCAAAACAAATGGATTGGATTTTAAGTCCTTAAGTCATACCATGGTATGAAATAGTCCTTATGCTGAATACATTAAAACTTTACTGTAATATCCACAGTTTGCTACAGGTGGTAAACATTAAGTTGGAACTATAGCGGACCATTTCCACAGGAAATTTAGTTCCCAAGTAACTGAGGAATATTATTATCTAGCAATTTCAACAATGAGATAAAACTACAATTTAGATCAACCTGAGAGGCTTTTACGTAGTATTTTTTATTCTGATCATTTTTCATTAAAAGCATTCTTCTGTTGTCGTTAAGAGTAAAATTATACTGGAGTTTAGATTCACATTTTTATTCTTCCAGAATTTTATAATAGCAGGCAATCAATAATATGATTCAATTTAAAGGAATACATGTTACAGAAAAACTTTATAAACAGTCATGGTTTTTTGAAAAACAAATTTAACTGATCTGGAAAATTATATTAATAAATGAAAAATACCTCAAAGAATAGAGTAAGTGCGTTTTTAGGGTCTTCTGGTATGGGTAAATATTCAACTTGAGATTTTGAGAAAATATTCTTTACTTCTGAGAGTTTAAATAGCAACCTTGTCAGTTCGGCCAACTGCTCTATGTATTCTTTCTCTGTTAAAATACAATAATAATATTTACATGTTTATTTCATATATACACACATACATATGGATGGGAGAACGGTAATGTAACATTTATCATGTGCTTCCTTTTAAAATTCAAATTTCCACATAATTAAAAATTTTGAAATAAGTTTTTCTCACTAAGGAATGGTTTTACTTAAAAACAAACATGTACTGTGAACATGCTAGTTGAAAAAGTATACATGCTAGTTATTCATGTAAAGTCAACTGATACGACCACGTATCAAAAATAAATGTGAAGCATTTTCTCAGTCCAGATTTTGTGTGGACATGATTTATAAATGGACATGAAGAATAGGATTAGAAAAAGCCATTCTACAGAAAACCAGACTATAGGCAATATTAAAAAAAAAAGTACAAGTATCACCCAATGATAATAGTAGAGCAAGAGGAAGACAAAATAATGTAAAATTAGGGATAAAAGTATTGCTAATTGGCTATTTTTCTTTTTCAGAATGTTCACAGAAGAATATCTAGTTATTACTTCATCATTTCCTTTATTAGTGATCAGTTTCTTCAAGGTGAAAAAAATAGCTTGTCACCTGAAAGCAAGTTTTTGGTGCTAGCTTCCAAGGAACCAAGTTTGTTTGCCTTTTTTTCCTTAATAGAAGACAGGCCTGTATATATAGTAGAGGGAAAATATCAAGAAAAAAAAGAAGCTAAAAAAGGAAGCAAATTTCTGTATTGATTCAAATATATTTTGTATTAATTCACTTAACAAAACAGGAAATATTAAGCTAGCTATCTATAGATAGCAAAATACTTACCAACTGCTTGTTCAGGATTGATATCAATGAACAAATCATCAGGAACATTGAGGTTTCTTACATACATTTGCAAAATACAGCGGATCCATGATCTTACAGTTAAGGCTTGAAAGGATACACTGTTTGAATGAGAAAGTGCTTCACATAACATGCTGCAAAAATAAATTGATGGGTATTAAAAATAAAAGCAAAAACACAACCTTGAAAATATGTTCCCTGAGTATTAAGTTTTCAGAAATAAAAACATTCTAACATTCCCCACTCACTGAGCTCACTTATTTTACAGATATATATTGCTGAAAATAAATACTACAGATACACACAAAAAGAGGTTTTAAATATTCTTACTTTCATTTGTAATATTCTAATTTTTATTTTCCTTTTCCAACTTATAGCATATATATAGGCAGATGCCAAGGAGTGAGGTAAAAATCAACATAGTTAAAAACAAAGCCCAGATATGACTGCAGAACTGAGGCCAGTAGGGTAGGAAAAGGTGGAAACAAAGTGTGGGGGGCCCAACACTATACAATAAAGGGTAAGTAAGGTGAGCTGGGGTGATGGGGTGTGGTGATGCACATTTGAGAGGCGAACTATTCCTCTGAATCATATACAGTGATATCAACCAAAGTTACCTCAACTAAATTAAAAACAAGCAAGCAAGCAAACAAACAAAAGAAAACTGACATCAAAGCGTTAGCTGCCTTCTCCAAGATTAGACAAGTATACTTGCATAGTCAGCTGTGCAGCTGATACCTTGTTTTACTTAAATGTACTTTTTGCAACACAATTCTGCAGCTTTTGGTGAATTTTTGATAAACAATTTGTGCTTACTTTAAAAAATGAGGCTACAATAGGAAAAGTGAGAAGGGGCTTATAACTAGCAAGGTGAGATAACAATGAAAGAAATGGCATGTAAAAAAAACAGTAGCCCTGGGGTAAGCAATCATGGCAATATATGTAAGAAAAAAGTTAAAGGTAAGATACATTTCTATGTGCATCTCCAGAACAATCCCTTCCCCATCCCCTCCTTTTCTGTTCTCCTGCCCCACAGGCATTCATCATCGAACACCTTGCATACAGAATTCCAAAATAACTCCATTTCTTCAACTGTTATTAAACACAGTAATTACATTTTTAAAACAAAAATTAAATATCAGCAAAAGTGGTTAGCAAATGATGAAATGATTGTTATTACTATAGAATTCTCAAGCTAGAAAGGATCTTAAAGTAAACCAACTGAAGGTAGACTTCTCTACTTTACAACTAAAAGCCCATGAGAAAACAACTTATTGAACTTAGTGATGAACTTAATGTTCCATACACACGTTGATTTTAATGTTGCACACTCGAAGCTTAAATAATGCTATGATTCAACGTTACTTCTTAGTAAAATTAAATGACTTAATGATTCTGCTTAATGAACTTCCTTATGAGAAGAATACACTGCCAACTATATCACTCTTCATTTTCACTGACTAGTAGCTTGGAGAAGAAAGCCTTGTAGTCTTGTAGGTTTGCATATTTATTTTATTTTCTGTCATCTTGATATCTTATTCAAATCTTTCTGATTACACTATTCCTATTTTAACTTTATTGCATTTTTTTTCTATTGAAGTTCCTTAGATCTCTTATATAATGTAGTAGGAAATATGTACGGATAATAAAAGCAACATGTAGGGAAGTGAAGTATCACAGAAACTAAGAGTCAAATCTTTAAAAATGCAGTTGTGAAAGGGGTTGTCATTTAATCTAAAACTACAATAATATCAGTGTCTTACAGATTCAGCAATATTAATTGTTTAATTTCTTTCACAATGGTGAGCGTACAAAGTTCACTTCAGGATGAGAACAAAGCAGTCTCATCAAAGAACTTAACAACCAGAAATATATTTTTTTTTTTAAAGCAGGCCACAAAACATTTAGTTATTTTTCCTACTATCACTACTGACAAGATACTGGATACATTCAAAAGCAAAGCATTGTGAAAGTAAGAACATATGTAGTAAAGATCAGTTTTTACTTGTGGAAGTTCTTACCTTGCTAGTGTACATATATGGGTACCTGAAATAAAATCACTTACCTATTTTGTAGAAAATGACTTAAATATCTTGCTACAACTTGGGGCCAGATGTTATCATCCCAGCCAAAAAGTTGTATCATTGATATAACTGGCTGAGGTTGAAGGTCTGATGGAGCTGTGCTGGGCATGTCCATTGCCAGCAAAGTAAAATCTAGATTTAAAAGTGAGAGAAACTTGTGGCAATAAATTTTTAAAAACATTTCCCCTTTCAGAACTGTATCTATAGTAATAAATAAAATTAAGCACTAAATAACGAAATGCCACATTCCGAAATGTAGGACTAATAGAAAGTTGGAACTGAATTAAAATTCATGTTGTCAAAGGAATTTCTGTAGAGATCATCTAGATCACCAAGAAAGGATCTAGAATAAATTATAAATTCTAAGCCTAATACTTCTACTAATGTATCTCCATCCTTCAAAAGACCCATATAAAAAGTGATTTCTAGTATTTACCCTTTTCCCATCAAGTTAATTTACTTGCCACCTGTCACAGGTAAGAGTTCACTCCTCTCTCAGATACTGAACATTCTCTTACCTTAAACAGTGATCTACAAACAATCAATGATACTTTGCTTCCTTCAGAAGTCACTAAGTCTAAGTAGTAAAATTCCTTAGTTAACCACATTAAACAAATACACTTTATTTTGTGATTTTTTGTGAATTCAAAAAATTTGTACTATTTTAATTTGTACTATTTTAATTTGTACTATTTTAATCTATTTTTCCTTAATAAATTGTTTATTAAGCATTGCCACCTGTGTAGCGCTCGATGGTGGCTGCTTATTCTCTCACTCCTTTTATACTGTGCTTGACCTACAGATAAAATGAATCTTGGTTCATGGTGCTACTTCTAGACCATTTTTCCTTCCTTCACCCTCAAGCCTCTGGCTTTGAATCTCCTGTCATTAGATCATACTAATCACCAACTCTTCCAGTGCATTCAGCTTCTGATTCCTAGTTCACCTTTACTCATTCCTTGACGATTGTAGCTTATAATTATTCTCTCTAACAGCCAACTCTTGTTCCAATCTGGGATGATTTTCCTTCCAACATATTGGTCTTTGAGTTTCTGGAACTCCTTTCTCCAGTGAATCAATCCTACATTCTACTTAGGTCATTCACTCCCATGGAAATACCAAGAGATCTTGGCATTAATGATAAGTACGATTTCTCCATAATGTCAACTTTGTGGACTCCAAATTTCTGGCACCAAACTAGCTTTCCAACTCTCCTCTGTAGGTCTCCAACAATTTTTTTCCTGTTCCTCCCCTATTTTCATGCCTTTCTCCCCTTCTTAGGTAGCTTGATTGCATGGTCCGTTATACTCTTTTATGCATACATTCAACTCCCTTACTTTGGACTTGATTTGTACCTGCCTGGAAAAAAAACTTGGTTTAATTCCAACTCTAGATTGTCTCCCCACATGTACCTGCACCAGTATAAATGGCTGGAGAGCAACCTGTCTGATCTCATTTTAAGTCTGACTACAAACTTTAAATTGGTCCTGGGGGTCCCCGGTGGCGCAGCGGTTGAGCGCTGGGTTGCGAAGCTGCCTGCGCCCTCTGAGGCGCCAGTTCGATCCCCAGCTGCTCCTCGGCCACCGGAGGAGGGTCCCACATGGCGCGCAGACCTCTCCTGCTGCCTGCTGCTCCCCTCAGCAGTGTACTTTGGTCCTTCTGCCTGCTCTGCTCCCCGCTCTGGCTCTGGTGAATTCTCTCACCCTCCCACGCTTCTGACTGTACCCAGTGCTTGTATGTATGTATCAATCAATCAATCAATAACTAACTAAATAAATCTTTAAAAAAAAACCAAAAAAACTTTAAATTGGTCCTTAGAGCCAGCTGGCTTTTCTCTCCTTTCTCTCGCCACCAGCATCTCTCTTCTCCACCTTCTCTCACATACTGAAAGTGATTCAACGACTCACGATGCCAGAGAGAAAAAAACATCAGAACTACCAGAAGCTGCACCACATTTACCCAGCTACCTCCACCCAGGCCCATTTACAGTGCCTTCTCCTCTCCTACTCCAGGCCATGTCCTCTATGGGGCCCCCTAAAGGACTTTAAACACAAGTGATCCTGTTGCATCCTTGTTTTCCCTCACTCCAGAACATTCCTGTCAATATCATATATGCTAAAATATCTTCAAATTATTAACAAAAAAATCTCTCTAATCTCACCTCCCCCTCAAGCTAACATCCCCATTTATTTTAACTTCTCTTAAACAATGAAACTCAGAGAAGATTAATCTCTATCTGTAGTCTGCAATTCCTTCTCATAGTTTCTCTTAAATCATCTTAATCAGGTCTTTTCAGCTACTATTACACCAAAATTGCTCTTCAGGGTCACCAATCACCCCCCACCCCTGCCTTATTAAAACCAATGACTAATTCTCAGGCCTTTTACTTTACCCAATAATAGCAGTTTAGCTATGGGTCAGTCTTTTTCCTTGAAATACTCTTTCACTTGATTTCTAGGGTACCACATGCAGTGCCAGCAAGGCACAGAGCCTGATCCGGGCAGACAGGTAAAGGAGAGTCCTGGAGGCCTCGGTGGCTTTTCAGGCTTTTATGGAGATTTTTACACCATTTGTTGTGTGGCACCCAGGTACACAGCAGGCAGGGGGTCCAGGGGGGCCAGGGAGGCTGGCAGGCCTCCCTGCCCCCCGGCGAATCTTCACTCTGTCTGGGTTTTTTTGAGTTCTCTCATGGGCTCTTCTCTGCTGCTGCTTCTGCTGCCGTTGCTGTTTCTTCTGCTGTTCTCCTGGAGTCCCCATGATGCCACCCTATAAGCCCAGTCTCTCAGCCCACCTATGCATGCCCACACCCTACTCCAGGTGCTGGCCATCAGGGAATTTGGACCGCAGGAATCCATCATTAATGCTAATGGTGGGAGGGCAGAAAATCGTGATAATTTTCACTTACCACACTTTCTTGATTTCCCTTTTACCTCACTGATAATCCTCTATAATCTTTTACTATTCCTCTTTATCTCAGAAATCTGAGCTTGTGAATACCATAGAGACTAGTACTTAGAGTTTTTCTCTTTTCACCAATACTGACTCTATTGTAATCTCATCCAGTTTATGGCTTTAAAGACTACTTATATAGGAATAGTCTCCAAATTTAAATCTCTAGCTTAGACCTTTTCCCTGAATCCATGGCTTATTATGCAAGTGACTAACATCTTTATGTAGATTTTGATGCAGATCTAAAAAAAAAGTTCAATAATAAAATCCTACACATCTGCCACAATCTTTCTCACTCAGCAAGTGGGAAATTCTTTATTTTGCTTACCATAGCTACCCAATTAGAAAAATCTACTACCTCTACCTTCAAAATGCTTTCTTTACCTTCCGATAGGTAATTTGACCACTTCTCACCACCTCTACCCAAGCTGCTCATTTCTGGGTAGATGCAACAGTTGCCTAACCTCTTTATATTCTATTTTCAGTATAGCAGCGGACAGAATTCCTCTGCTCAAAACTTTCCAACTTCCAGTCTCAGAGCAAAAACAAACTTCTTTAAAACTGCATAGAAGGCAGAACACAAACTAGCTCTCACATCTTGATCACATTTCTGACTATTCTCGCTCCCCTTCCTACTTTACATGAACTTTTATGGCTTCCCTGTAGTTCCTTAAAGACACCAGATATGCTCTAGTCTTGACTTCTGCACAGCATTGGTCTCTCTTTGCTCAAATGGTACTTAGGTTTTCCTAATAACCGATAGCTTTATTTAAAATTATAACCTGCCTCATGCATTCCCTATTCCCTTATATATATATTTGCTTTTCTCCACAACACTTAACACCATCCAACATATTACACATTTTACGTATATATTTATTATTCTCTCCCCATATGGGACAATAAATTCCATGAGAACATGAAACATATACATAAGAAGAATTGTGGTCTTCTGCCACACCCCTACCTGGTACATCCCTAATGGCAATAAAAGTAGGTATGCGATGACATTTTTTAATGCACGGAATTTTTCTCTCCCAACTCATCAAGTTTCTAGTGCAAAATGTACAAAACAAAGCCAACAATCACACACAGTTTGCTTTATATATACCATTTACTTTCAGTACTTAGGACACTGACTAAACTTTTGTGATATCATTTTGTTCAGTGACTGGGAGTTGAAATGATGAATGGAAGAAAGATAAGTCATATCAGCTAGTAATGACTGCTTTGGTTAAATTTACTGAATATCAATATTTATCTTCAAAGACATTATAGTAGTTGGGATACCATTCCTGGGTCACAATTCTTCAATCTATCACTGTAAAAGTCCTAATTATGGAAGTGCTACCAGAATTCAAGATGTTTGAAATTTCTCAGTCTTTTTTTTATAAGACTTTTTTTTTTTTTAAGATTTATTCATTTATACAAGAACTGGGGTAGAGTGACAGAGTGGGGAACAGAACAGGAGACTGACCAAAATACACAGCTGAGGGGAGCAGAGGGGAGACAGGAGAGGTCTGCTCGCCATGTGGGTTGCTCCACGGCCGGCGGGGATCGAACGGGCACTACAGAGGCTGTGGACAGTTTCACAGCGCTGCGCTCAACTGCCTGCACCAACAGGGAGGCCCCTCAGTCAGTCTTTTATGTAATACTTTTATCTCAGCTTTCCTCACTCAAACCAGGGTAAAATAACCATGGTTTAGATGTTAAGTTTTTAAAAGTATTACATTTAAATCCCTTCATATAAATTGCACTTAAATACATGCATTCACCATATTGCTCTCTGTCTATTCCGAGTCTAAACATATTTTGGGCAAAACATTCCTTTGAGAAAGCTACTGACCTTTTGTTAGAAACCTATAACTGTGCACATAGTTAAACTCTTTCCTACAATTTCATGTGATTCAGAGTCCCCTAAAGCCTAAGGACATGTTCTTAGGTTAATAATCAAATTAAGCAAAAAATTACAACCTAAAATAAAATCCAGAAGTCAGAATAAAAACATTCTATATGTTCAACATATCATTCGATCTTAACAGTTTGTTGTTGAAGAGGAATTCATGCTATACTCTTTTGCCTTTTATATAAGTAGCTCCATTTTATATCTAGATAGCTGCACATACAATTTGCAAATAAACTGCTTGAACTGGAAATAATCAAATGGTACCTTACTTTCCAAATATTGCATGCATAGGAAGCTTATGCATTATCAGTATTTTAAAGATTAAAATTTATTTCTTTTAAACAAATAATCACAGTTTTTACCTTTACTGAGATGAAAATAATAACTTGAAGGAGCCTAATTTAAAAATATGTAATTCATCTTTTTGGTTGTCAAAATATTTATTACACTAACAAAATAAGAGTTTGTTACAAAGCAAAAACAAGAAAAAAACTGATGGATTCTGGAAAATGAAAACCTAATTAGCAAATTAACAACACTGACCTGCAGCTGCATCTGCAAGTTGTGAGAGTGGCACTATCTGTGACATTCTCTGACTCTTCAAAAATGAAAAGAAATGTTTCCACAGTGCACTGGCAACTGCAGCAAGGTGGCGCTCTTTAGCCGATAATGAAGATTGTACAATTAGGTTTCCATTCTCCCTTTGAAGTTCCTGACACAATTGTTGATGCATACTCCTAAAAAGAAATAAAAATATAGCTAACATCCAATAAATGCTTACAAAAATGTTTAAATACACCTTGGGTTTTCAGTGCTTATACCATATAAAAACTGAAGGACCATTTTATATAATTAAAACCTTTATGCCATGACATTATGCATTTCTGGTTACTTGATGGATGAATGATGGCATATTAAGCACCATAAAGTTAATGTTAATTACTAATGTCAACCATTAATTATATGCTTTTTAATATGTCAGATCCAAATGAGAAACAGGCAGCTTCAGAATGAAGGTCTGCATTTTGCAACTCACTATGTCAACTGATTTTACTTACAATCTAGACATGAAAACAATTTTTTAAAGCATTCTCTCATGAGAGCTTTAGGATATGGATGTGCCAAGAGGTAAGTAAGCCACACCTGGCCTATGTGTGATATTTTAAATGAAAATAATTTTCTTGTTTAGAAAAGGCATAGGCCCTGGTACAATCATAGTACTTTGATCCAAAAAGATCCATTCATTTCACACATTAGAAAATAATAGAAAGTTTTTTTCTCCATAAAATAGTAAAACATGAATTTGATACTGTCTCAAATTTTGATTCATCATCTACTCACCTTCCGTACTTAATCGAAGTGAAATTTAGACAACTCTAGACATTTATAAAAACAGTAGAGGGGAATACTAAGATTTTTCTAGTGATTTGGAATAGAAGGCACTTATGCAACATGTCCATCAATTAAAATTATGAGTTTGTTTTTTATTTATATACCAAAAGGACAGGTTTAGGAGAAAAAAAGAAAGGAGAAAAAAACATTTGCACAGATACAAATGGGCAGAAAGAGCTTCATTTAAAAAGGACAAGTTTGTGAAAAGGGATGCCTGCATAGACATAGGAGGGCAGTCAGTGTTCAAGAGCTGCCAAAATTATGATTATTTAAAATGAAATGTAGAACCATGATATTATTCCTGCAGTATAAGTACAGGAGACATAAATGAATGGATGACATTTTCAGATTTATTTTTTTCAACTATACAGAAAATAGTGAATAATGATCAAGAAGTTAAGGCAGAAGATTCTTTCAAAATTAGTAGTATTACATTAAGAAAAATAGGTAATACTTTTTTAAAAAGAAAGGAACATTACACTGACTCCCAAATTCCTGATATTTTAAATCAGTTTATGTAGGATAAGCACGTAGATACTCAAAATAACTATACAAAATACAGAGCAAACTAAATATCTGCTATGTCATCTCTGTTTAAAACTCTGTCTGATATGCTCACACTGTGAACCGGTGGCTAGAGTCCTTTATTTTTGAGTAAGATGAATACTAAACCACTAAAATCCACTTGGCAACTAACTCAGCTGCCTATATCAACGTAGCAAAGTTCATGACTACATAGCAAAGTGCTGGAGAGGCCATGTGATATAATACTGACATTTGCACAAAAATTTATACTTTTTCAAAGTATACTGGTAAAAGATAATAAATTACTTAATGTATACAGGTAGGATGGATTTTGCTGTTTCTGAAGAACCCACTTTCTTTATGAAAACCTATTCCCTAGAGGGGCCTCCCTGGTGGCACAGAGGTTAAAGTCTCAGCGCTAACAAGCAATCGCCAGCCACTTCGAACTGAGTTCTTTCCACAGCCAGAGAGCTAACCCCATGGCGCAGCAGACTGCTCATGTCTCGCCCGCTGCTCCTGTCAGCAGTGTATTTCTGTAGATCTACCTGTTCTGCTCCCCATTTTGCTCTAGTGAATCCTCTCACCCCCTGCACCTCTGGCCTAGACCCCCATTCTTGTATGCATTAATAAAATAAATCTTAAAAAAAAAAATCCCTATTCCCTAGAAAGATGCATAATTTCTGATCATCTTTTATGCGCTAGAAACCTTTAATTAAAAATCAAAACAATTCTATAGATGGGTATCATTAATACTCTTACACAGATGATAAAGCTGATGGGGGTAAATTATACAATATAGCCAGAGGTCACAGGGTTAAGAAGGGCTGGTCCCATAATCTGAACCTATCTCAGACTCCAAAGCTCACACTTTAGGACCACACACACAATTTAAGCATTGATAAATTTTCTTCTCTCCTTACTTGTGTTGAAGAAATTTCATTAAGCCTAAGAGAAGGAGCTGAGAAAGCCACATGTAACTTTGCCTTGCGAAATGGCAGGCAACACCAGAAATCTGTATTGGGAAAAAGTATAAAGAGAGATTCCAAGAAAAATGCATTCAAACCAATTTAGAAAAAGGCCAACAAAACTGAACTACGTCTGACCTCTTCAGAACAAAATGTAGCGGTAGCTGGGAGTATAAGTAGGAATTACTACAGAAATTTGATTCAGAGCTCTTAAAAAATAAATCAGTAGGAAAAATTAAAGTTAGAGATTACAACTGCCAAGGTAAGTGAGTTAACATAGCAAAAACAAATTCTGATTAAGTAAGACATTGACCAAAAATTGAACTTGTTTTGGAAATGTGCATCCATTTGGTATTTTCATTTAGAAAGAACTTCTATAACTGGGATTATGTAAAATATTTTCTGCTTGACAGTTTGAATGTTTAGGTGGTATCATTCTGTATAAGAAGAGTGATTATCTGCTACTTTAATGCAAAGCAAAGTTGTTTAAAACCTTCTAACAATTTCTGTAAACATGAAGAAATCAGAGAGTGGCAAATGCAGGAAATATGAAGGATGTTCTGTTATGGGAATCTGAGGGAAGAATCAAATTCTGCACTACAGCCAAAGTAGTCAGAAATACCCCTTAAAATCACACATAATTTTTTAAATCACATTTTCTGAAACAGAAAACTACACAAAGACTATTCATAAAGAAATTTATTAGCTATGAAGCCTGAAGGTACATTTATGAAAGAGCAACTATTAAGAGATCTCTCACTGTGGATAATAATGTAAAAGAAAACACATGCAATATACCTAGAGAATACTGTTCTAGATGTTATGGTTATTTTATAAACTTACCTACTTTTTTCAACAAACAGTAGAAAAGTATGAAAGTAGATTTATTGCACAAAAAGTATAATCTGATTTCAGGTCAAAAACTAAAAGAAATAAAAGATGTAGAATCCCCTATTACTAAGCAAATGTTTTTAGTAAAGACAGACTAAACATAGGGCACAATCATTTTGGATACAAGCTTGTGTAAATACACACACGTAACCAGCCCACTTACATTCTAGAAAATATAATATATACCAGTATAGTAGAAAATAAAATTTGCTGAATATTAAGTTATTTAAATTGCAGTGCTCATAGAAACAATAATAACATTTAGCATTTATTGTTATTTACCATATCCCAAGCACTAAGTGATTTATAAGCATTATTTCTCACCCTACCAGGTAGGTACAATTAATATTCAAATCTTGTAAATGAGGAAATGGAGGCAAAAGAAGTTAACTTGTGTTAGGTAACACAGCTGGCTACTAGTATAGTTACTCAGAGCTGTCTGACCTCAAAGAAAATGAATCACCTGCCAATTTCTGAAAGGGAACAATCATTTGTTATATCATCTAACAGTCCTAAAGATTGAGTTAAATAACATCCTTGAAAATGTGCTTGGAAATCTATCATTACGCAATGTAGACACCCAAACTGCATACTTAACTGTTTATCTTTTACTACTGCTATCCTGCCTCCTTTGGCTTACCTCATATTATGGTCAAAGATTTTTCTGATTCCTGCATCTGAACGAATACCCTTCAGTCTAACTTTGAAATATTTGTTTGTTGTTTTATCTTCTACTATTTTTTGTTGTGCTGCACATATTCACTAGACCCACTTCCCCCTTAGTCACTCACAGATATGTAAGCGTGCTGATGCATTTATTATACCACAGATGCAGAAACCATGAGGCTACCCACCAGCCTGGCCTTAGGTAATTCCTAGTCTCTAGTAACTTCTAGGCAGGTTCTAGGAAGACCTATTGGACTCCTATATGTAGATTTTACTTCTTATCTTCAAATGTCATACTTTTCCTGCAGCAGATAATGATGGAGTAAGGTAATATCCTACACATCACTTTTCTGTTAGTCACAGTTGTCTGTGTAATATTTCTAATATATTATGACTCAAAATTTAAAGAAAAATTCTCTATTGATGGACCTTGCCATATTCGTGTACCATTTATCAATGGACAAAATAAAAAGCAAAATACAATAACAACTGGTAAGAGCTAACAGAAAGCAAGGAATTAAAAGCAGCTAATAACAGAATTCCTTTCCTATTTCTATGCCAAACCTGGCAACTTTAATCTATATTAGTGACAATATAATGGCAAATTCTCCATTAAAAAGTTGTTCTAAACTACTGTGAGTAATTATTCCAAGTATTTGATTGATCCAATAGAAAATTTATACCAATTTTTCTTTGAAGCTATACTCATTAAAAACCTTAGGTACTCTGAATCCTCTTGTTTTTCACATCCCTAAAACAACTATAATTGATTACCTGGTCAGAAAAAAAAAATAACATAATCAAAGTAATGACATTCTCAGAAAAAAAAAACCAACAATAATTTAAAGCTGGAAGGTAACCTAAAAATCATCAAATTCAACCCTGACTTTATTCAAAAATTCAAAAATCTCAAAAAATGAGGAAAAAATATACAGCATCTAGCTACAAAGAATTTTGCAAAGCCTCACTATGAGATAAGGGTAATTTGAGTCCTAACCTACAATTCTCCATGTGTCCAAGTTATCAGGGAGCGTGATAAGTTAAAAGCCAGCCTGGTAAGGAGCAGCCCATTCATAATTTGCAGTGCCTTCCTGCAATACATGCCTCAATGTGTCTGTGTGTCTGTGAAGGAGGGACTAAGTAGGTAGTGGAAGATTGAATGAATAAGTGAGATCAAGAAAAGAAGTTTTGTTGGTATGTATAACAAAGAATCTAACTATAAAGAGGATAAATAGCTTGACTGGGCCATACTGTTAGTAAGCAGCAGAGCAGAATTTGAACCCAGGCAGCCTGCTACT